TGAAAGGGACACTAAAACCAAAGCACAATCCTAGACTGAAGCGCGCGACAAAATTTGTGAGTACCTCCCAACAATGAATACTTAGATTTTGGACTAGATAATTTCCAACTGAGAGAGGAGGTGCCCATCACTGACCTGACCAACTCTAAGTTAACTGCAGTTAACTTGGATTCTAGCAATCACAAATCTGATTGGTAAGTATATTTATGATGTGGGACCAAAACTACCCTACAACAGTTATCCTCACAGAACAGATCTCCCCATGATGAGATTGTTCCTCTAAGACAGAACTGAGGCTAGCTCCTAAAGCAGTAGCAATCAAGTTACGATGGGAACTGAATTGCCCCCTTGAGTGATGATGACCTTCCCAGAGCTTTAGTCCTGAGATATTGATCAATCAGACCATAGTCTGATCAGAATGAGTTACTCTGCCAGTCCAAGTAAACCTCCCAGCCATACAAACCCCCAGACCTTGCCTTTGTTTTCATTTTCTATGAAACCTCAGTTTTTGTGAGCCCCTTGAAGATAGATCTTTGTCACTGTATTGCCATCTGTTCTTCCTGGTGTGGCCACACTGATTAAAACTTTACCACTGGTTATCTTTGATTAGCAAATTGGAGTGTGTGGGCAAGACTGATCTGTTGGGACCACTAGAGCCAGGGATTTTTGTTCTAGGATTGTTACAGTTCAGATATAAGGTGTCTTCCAAAAACATATGTGTGAGACAATGCAAGGATATTCAGAGGTAAAATAATTAGGTTATGAGAAGTCTAACCTAATCAATAGCATTAATCAACTGTATGGATTAAATATGTAACTATAGGCAGGTGAGTGTGGCTGGAGGAGACAGGTCACTGGGGGCATGCCTCTGAGGTTTATATTTTGTCCCTCATGAGTAGAGCTCTCTCTACTTCCCGATTGTCTTATCCTGAACTGCTTTCCTCCTCTGTTCTGTCTCATCTTGGGCCCAGAGTAATGAACTCAGCTGTCTATAGACTAAGACCTCTGAAATTGTGAGCCCCAAACGAACTTTTCCTTCTCCCTGTTTTTCTTGTCAGGTCTTTTTGTCACAGTGGAAAAAAGAAAAACTAACTAAAATGAGAACTCTGGTAACAGTAGTACCAGCTTGCTATCAGATATTAATTTAAATTATCCCTAATGGCTGAAGGAGACAAAATATCAAAACCCAAAATACTCACACTGTCTTGGGTGGTATGAGAGAATCACTCTTAATAGAGGATGGTGTCCAGAATAGTGTCATAATAAAGTAGAAATGGCTTACTCAGAAACATGTGAAGAAAAGACACTCATGACATGCAGGAAGCCTCTTTTCTCTTAGACTGACTCTGGAACCCCTTTGTTCCAACCTTATTGATGTCTGTTTATTCACCCCCATTTATTTTTTTCTAATTTTAAATAATTCTTTCTTTATTGCAGTGCTGGGGATTGAATTCAGAGCCTTGTGCATATTAGGCAAGTGTGCTTCTGCTGAGCTACACCTCCAGACTAGCATCTCATTTCTTAATAACCATCTAAGCATTTTCACCCTACTGGTATATCTACATTCTCTCTTCTGGTTTTCCCCATTTTCTTGATAATTAATTTAATGTTTTTATCAGCCTCTGTAAGACCCATGAAGGGAAGATAAGACAGCCAATTTGATAAGGCTTTTCAGGATATTACTCAGTTTTGATCTTTGGTTGATTTTGTGACCCATTGTTTCAAGTTTAATGGTTGTTTTTGTTTTCGTTTGATACTGGATGTTAAACTCAGGGGTGCCTTACCATTGAGCTACATCCCCAGTCCTTTTTTATTTTTTGAGACAGGGTTTTGCTAAGTTGCTTGAGGTCTCGCTAAGTTGCTGAGGCTGGATTTTGAACTTCTTTTTTTTTATTGGTTGTTCAAAACATTACAAAGCTCTTCACATATCATATTTCATACATTAGATTCAAGTGGGTTATGAACTCCCATTTTTACCCCAAATACAGATTGCAGAATCACATCGGTTACACATCCACATTTTTACATAATGCCATATTAGTAACTGTTGTATTCTGCTACCTTTCCTATCCTCTACTATCCCCCCTCCCCTCCCCTCCCATCTTCTCTCTCTACCCCATCTACTGTAATTCATTTCTCTCCTTGTTTTTTTTCCATTCCCCTCACAACCTCTTATATCTAATTTTGTATAACAATGAGGGTCTCCTTCCATTTCCATGCAATTTCCCTTTTCTCTCCCTTTCCCTCCCACCTCTCATCTCTGTTTAATGTTAATCTTCTTCTCATGCTCTTCGTCCCTACTCTGTTCTTAGTTACTCTCCTTATATCAAAGAAGACATTTGGCATTTGTTTTTTAGGGATTGGCTAGCTTCACTTAGCATAATCTGCTCTAATGTCATCCATTTCCCTGCAAATGCCATGATTTTGTCATTTTTTAGTGCTGAGTAATACTCCATTGTGTATAAATGCCACATTTTTTTATCCATTCATCTATTGAAGGGCATCTGGGTTGGTTCCACAGTCTAGCTATTGTGAATTGTGCTGCTATGAACATCGATGTGGCAGTATCCCTGTACTACGCTCTTTTAAGGTCTTCAGGGAATAGTCCGAGAAGGGCAATAGCTGGGTCAAATGGTGGTTCCATTCCCAGCTTTCCCAGGAATCTCCATACTGCTTTCCAAATTGGCTGCACCAATTTGCAGTCCCACCAGTAATGTACAAGAGTACCCTTTTCCCCACATCCTTGCCAGCACTTGTTGTTGTTTGACTTCATAATGGCTGCCAATCTTACTGGAGTGAGATGGTATTTTAGGGTGGTTTTGATTTGCATTTCTCTGACTGCTAGAGATGGTGAGCATTTTTTCATGTACTTGTTGATTGATTGTATGTCCTCCTCTGAGAAGTGTCTGTTCAGGTCCTTGGCCCATTTGTTGATTGGGTTATTTGTTATCCTATTGTTTATTTTCTTGAGTTCTTTGTATACTCTGGATATTAGGACTCTATCTGAAGTGTGAGGAGTAAAAATTTGTTCCCATGATGTAGGCTCCCAACTTCTGATCCTCCTGAACTCAGCCTCCTCAGTTGCTGAGATTACAGGAGTGTACCACCACACCCAGCACCACACCCAGCTGGTTGGTTGTTAGTTTTTTTTTTTCTTTAGTTGTAGTTCTTTATGTATATTTTGGATATTAATCTTTTATCAGATATATGATTTTCAAATATTTTATCTTATTCTATGGGTTGACTTTCTCTCTCTCTCTCTCTCTCTCTCTCTCACTACTGGGGAGATTGAACAGGTACTCTTTAACGCTGATCTACACCTCCAGCCCTTTTTATTTATTTATTTTAGTTAATATTTTTGTGTGATGCTAGGAATTGAACCCAGGGCCTTGTACATGCAAAGCAAGCACTCTACCAACTAAGCTATATCCTTAGCCCCCTGTTTATTTTAATTTTGATACAGGGTTTCTCTAAGTTGCCTAGGCTGGCCTCAAACTTGCAATCCCCCTGCCTTAGCCTCCTAAGTCACTAAGACCACAGGCATGTGTAACGTCTCACTCCCTCCACAGTATACTTTGATATACAAAAGAGTTCCATTTTGTTGATGAACTCCTTGTCCATTTCTTCTTTCATCATCTATGCCATTGCTATCATATTCAAGAAGTCATTGCCAAATCCAATGTCATGGAGATTTTTTTTCCCTGTATTTTCTTCTAAGAACTTTGCAATTTTAGCTCTTGCATGTAGATCGTTGATCTACTTTGAGCTAATTGTATACAATGTAAGGTAAAGATCTAACTTCTTCTTTTTTTTTTTTAACATTTGTTGAAAAGACTATCCTTTCCCCCATTGAATGGTCTTGGTACTCTTGTCAAAGATCTTGTAACTGTGTACACTGGTAATTCCAGCAAGTAGGGAAGCTGGGGCAAGAGGATCACAATTTTGAGTCCACCTAGGCAATTTAGTGAGACCCTGTCCCAAAATTTTAAAAAATTAAAAAGACTCTGGGATCTAGCTCAATGGTAGAGTGCTGCCTAGTATGTGCAAGGCCTTGAGTTCAATCCCCAGTACTGAAAAAACAAAAACATCATTTGACCATATTTTTTGGGACTTATTCCATACCTTGTCATAGGTTTTATTTTATTTTTAATCCTTTATAACATTAGTGCCCACGAAACACAAATGTAGAAAAATCTTTTTTTCTATCAACTGTGATTCTGTTGAAACAGAGGCACAAAATTTAATTTTATGGAATATATAACCACTCAGTGTTACTCAGCTAAACATGGCTGTAGCGCAACAAACTCCAGAAATGTGCAATACTAATTCAACCCAGTAGTGCTATATTTTGCCAGCTTTCAGTCATTAAAAAAAACACATAATTTTCGTATCTATATATATAAACATGGGTGTGTAAAATATATTTTTCAAGCCCGGGTCTTCCCAACCACTTTAATATTTAATCAAATGATCCAACACAGTATAATCATGCTTATCAAACAAGCAAGCAAATAAACCGAAGAACCACACCAAGCATACACACAACTCCGTATGAAATCATTGGAACATTCTAGAACCAACAATCCCAGAAATGGCTGTTAGTATTCTAGGAGTTTCAATAGGTGAAGGGCAGTGTAATGCAGTTTGAAAACTACAAAGGTGTGCTATTACAATGTTGCTAAGAAATTCTTATTCTTGTAACCATTATTTCTCTTGACCCTGTCGACATTGTTCATTTTCATGATTTTGCATATATTCCACGTGTTGCTCTGCAGCACCTGGCCCCTGAAACCTGCTCCAGGTCTCTGCAGGGGTACCCCTTTGGAGCCCACAGCTGCGCGAGGTTGCCAGTATAAACCAAGGAAGCACCCCGCAACAGCCGCCTCGCCAACAGGGGGCGCGCCTCCCTCCGCAGAATGCCGGGAGGCCCTAGCCCGGGCTCCCGGCCCCGCCTCCACTTCAGCCCCGCCCTCGCCGCCAAGCCGCGTCCGGGTCCGCGCCCCGCCCCCCGCGCGGGTCGTCTCGGTAGCGCTGCGACGGCGGTATGGAGGGCGAGAGCACGTCGGCGGTGCTCTCCGGCTTTGTGCTCGGCGCGCTCTCCTTCCAGCACCTCAACACCGACTCGGACACGGTGAGCCGGGCGCGCAGCCTCCCTCCCTCACCGCGCCGCGGCCGGATCCCCGCCCGGGGACTCTCTGCGCCGCCAGGCCGCCTCTTCCCTCGCGGTCCAGGAGGTGCCTCCTGCCCGACGAGCCTTTCCCAAGAGTAGCCCTCCAAGGCCTAATCCCTGCTCCCCTTCCCCGGCCCGAATGCCCCACACGCCCCAGTCTCATTCATCAGTCTCCCTTTTTCCTGGCCAAACTTGGGCGCGAACGGATAGAAAGTTCATCTCGTGCTCCGCTACCGCTGGGGAGGCAGCAGGTTAACTTTCCGTTTCGCCTGACTACCCGTGATCGATTGCAAAGACAACCGTGGACTTTTTCATGCCGGGCAGCTCCTATGATAGGAAGGTGAAGGAGTAAAAATAGGTGTTGCATCCAGTGTCTGTTTTTCGGCAAATCCTAGTGAATGAAAAAAACCCTTAATTTGATGTATCAGATACCTGATTTGTTTGCACGTGCCATCAAGTTTCTTAAAATTATAAGGTTTCTATTTACTTTTCTGATACTTTTGGTTATAACTTAACCACAAATTTCCCCAAAATATTAAACATTTAAACGTTTTGCCTAGCTTCAAAACCACTGGATGAAATTAAAAAGTGAAGTTTTTAAAAATATAGTGCCTATTTTCTAAAAATTTATTAAATGAACAAGTCACAGTAAAATTCTTGTAAATTACGGTACCTTCTTGTCAGACAGCAGTTTCTCAGATCTTTTAACTAAATTCTTTAAATGGTGTTTTTTTAAAGATAGACTTAAGTTATCCTTGCTGCACATTTCTTAGTTTTTGTTTTCGAAGTACCAAAATCAAGAACACTGGAGTGTACAGTTCTGGGTTTTTTTTTTCACCTTGATTCAAGTGAAAACATTGTAGAAACATTCCTTTAGCGCTTTTTATCCTTTGATGAAACGGGGGGTATTAATAATACGTATTATTACGTATTATTAACCAGTTTTTAAAAAGGTAAAATTTAATTACCAAGCACACTAGGTCTATTTTTGGTACTGGGGTTTCAACTGAGGGGTGGTTTACTATTGTGCAACATCCCCAGCCCTTTTTATTTTTTGAGAGGGTGTCTCAAGTTAAGTTGCTGAAGCTGACATGAATTTAAGATTCTCCTACCTTACCCCCCAGAGCGGCTGGGTCACCCTGCCTGGCCACACTTGGTCTTTAAATGCACCTAAAGGAATATCTGAATACTCTGAACCAGGACAAATTCACCACTGCTGTGAGGATATACCTGTAGTTTCACAACGAATCAGGCCTACAGGACCCCTTTTAGAAAGCAGACTCAAATTGAATTCCAAAATCTTTAATCTTTCATATTTTGTACATTCTTCCCCATTTTGTACAATTTTAAATCTGAAAACACTTTCATTGTGTCATAGTTTAGAAACCTCCACTGACTCCTAGAAGCACTTGTTAAATCCAGACTCCCTGGCTAGTCATACAGGATGTTTTATTATTGGCTCCACTTAAGTTTGCCTCTGTTTCAAGGCAAACTGTTCTACTAGTGTGTGCTTATTTTTGGCTTTAAGCCTTTTATGCTTTCAGGTGTGCTAAGTGCTTCAAGCTCTGCCTACACAAATTATCAACTTCATTCTCACCTCTTCCACAGGGCCTTCTCCAGTTATTTCCGTCTATGTTAATCTCTTTCCCCTTTATAAAATCACAGTGGTGTTTATAATCTCTTCTTATTTTTTTCTTCTAATTCTTATTTAACTGGTCATGTTTTACAATTAAACTGGAAGCACCTTAGGTTTTTATGTGTCCCCTAGTAGCACACACATGTATACACTGTAAAATACTGGGAAATATGAATTATTTAAGAGACTGGACAGTAATTCTATCAATGTATTCCAAATTCTGCTTCTTTTTATTTTATAGGAAGGTTTTCTCCTTGGGGAAGTGAAAGGTGAAGCCAAGAATAGCATTACTGACTCCCAAATGGATGATGTTGAAGTTGTTTATACAATTGGTGAGTTACATACTTCTGTCTATTTTTGATAGTTTATGATGAAAGGGATCAGCATAAGTTATTACTTTTAAATTGTTAAAAAAAAATACACTGATTTTTAAAAGCAGAATTTTTAAAATACATTGCACTCATCTTCAATTAAAATTATGGCCATGGACTGAAACAATGTGAAATATAGGAAGCAAATAAAATTGCTGCAGGGAAACTAAGAGGAAACAGCTGCTGTTTCCTAAAGGAAAAAAAGATAAGGGAGCTTTAAAATATATAGGAAGTCTTCTGATTACCTAACATATACAGTTTTTAATAAGGAGATGTGTGTGTGTGTGTGTGTGTGTGTGTATACATTTTTTTCTTTTTTTTGTATTACTGGGTGTTGAACCCGATTGTGCTTAATCACTAAGTTAAGTCCCCAGCCCTTTTTATTTTGAGATAGGGTTTTACTAAGTTACTTAGTTAGGGCCTCCATGAGTTGCTAAGGCTGGCTTTGAACTTGCGATCATCTTGCTTCAGCCTCCTGAGCTGCTAGGATTACAGGCATATGCCACTGTGGCTAGTAGGATATATATTTCTTTTTTAAAACAAAATAGTATTGTACTTTATAACAGGTTTGACATCATGACATATTTTGTCATGACTGATATCTCTATAATATCATTTTTCATAACTGCAATATATTCCACTATGACCTTTCTGTGATTTAAGCAGACCTTTAAATAAATTATAATCAGCTATTTCCATTTTTTATTATAGATTACACTACAATGAATATTCTTGTACATAAACATTTGACTTTATTATCAATTCCTAGATATTATGCTGTTACAGGGTAAAAAACTTTTTTTTTTTTTTTTTTTAATGGCATGAGGATTTTGCTCTGGTGCCTAGGCTGGCCTCAAATTACTGGACTCTAGTCATCCTCCTACTTCAACTGGGACTGCTTGGCAAGCTGATATAATTTGCCTTGCATATAACTTTTCATTCTTCCTAATGATTATAACTGTCCCATTGTGTGGACACAGCATAACTTTTAACTACTATGAATAAGTTTCTGTTTATTAATACAATATTACAGTGAATATTTTATATATCTTTGTGCCCTTGTCTCTCTGAAAACCAAATTCATATAGGTAGACTAGCTAATAGTACTTTGGAAAATTTACTGCATTTTAGACTCCTCCGCAGTCTATAATAATGCCTGTGTCTCCATATTCAGGCTAACATGAAATATTATAAGTTCTTTTAATCTTTGCCAATTTGATAAATTTTTTTTTTTTAGAAGTTAAGGTACTTTTTTTAGAAATATTTTTTAGTTGTCAATGGAGCTTTATTTTGTTTATTTATATGTGGTGCTGAGAATCAAACCTAGTGCCTTACACATTCTAGGCAAGCGCTCTACTACTGAGCCATAACTCCAGCCCCAATCTTATAAATTTTTTAAAAAGTAGTTTGCTTTTTTTTTTTGGTGTTGCTGGACATAGAACCCAAAACCTAGAGCGCTGAGCTACTGTTAATTTGTATTTCTTGAGTATAAAAGAAGTTAAATATTCCTGGTTTTTACTTTTTCTTTTTAGCCTTTGAAAAGCACAGACCTATTCTATTCTTTGACTATATTTCTACTGGCTATGTTACTTTAATTGATTTGTATAACATTTTAATAATGGCCTTTTGTCATGTGCTATACACATGTTTATACAGGTTGTTATTTTGTTTGGTGCTGGGGATTGAACCTTAGGCATACTAAGTATACACTTCCCACTGAGCTACACCACCAGCCCAAGCAGTCTGTAATTCAACTTTGTTGATTTTTTTCTTTTTGCTAGTCAGACACTTGGAGTTTTAAAAGCAAGATTTAGAGCATTTTTTCCCCTAACTGGAATTAGCATGCCACCCAAAGAATGTAACACATTTAGAAAAATTTAATTAAGCAAACATTTCTTGACCAACTACACTGTGTACACAGGTACTTTGCTAAGCTTTAAGGTATTTGGTCAAATTATTTTAAAAGATTACTTTAACACAGATGGAGAATAGATGAAAATCCAAGATAGACAAATTACTGCCTCACATTGGTCATAAGATGTTCATCATTTTTACACTTTTCTTTCTTAGTTTAACATTGCTATTGACAGAATAAAATTTGCCTCTTAAAAGATATTAGGGTCTGTTTTTGTTTTCTTTAGTTTGTAGCTAACACAGACAAAAGTTTTATGAAATAACTACTTAAAACAAGATATTTCTATTTGACAGATATTTCTAACAGTTGGTGTAAATTTAGAGCATAACCTTTTTAGTACACAATGAAAATATTGCAACTTTAAACTTATATTTTGTACTGTATTTATTAAATCATTATTTGAGGGAATATGGCATTGTGGTTCCCAGGGAAACTCTAGGTTTGAATTTTGGCTCTATCACTAGCTTGAGGAACCACTTCATCTCTCTTTTTTTTTTTTTTTTTTTTTTTTGGTCCTGGGGATTGAACCTAGGAGTGGTAAAACCTAGTTTTACCACTATACCTCCCCAGTTCCACCCCTTTTTAATTTTGAGACAGTATGTCAATAAGTTGCTGAGGCTGGTCGATTTGCAATTCTCTTACCTCAGCCTCCACAGTTGCTGGGAATACAGGTGTGCACCACCATGCTCAGCCTATTCCTCATTTTTGAAAGGGAAAGAATGATGGCATCTGACTTGTGAAGATTAAATGAGATAATACCAAAGTACTTCCTGGCATGAAGTAAATGCTTGGAAGTGATTATTTAATTAATCATAACCAAAAATTCAGTATAATTGTGCTAAGAGTATCATATCTTGCTGAGTTTCAGTCCAAGTATTAATGTAATTTGGATTTCCCTCATTATACAACCCATTTATTCATCCCTTTTTCCCCCTAGACATTCAGAAATATATTCCATGCTACCGGCTTTTTAGGTGAGTAATAGTACTAGTAAGAGCAAGTAAACCATACATTGCGAAAGTTCATTCTCTGCAAGTGAAATAAGTTTTAAAACTAACGTAGTATTTTAGTTACCAATTATACGATGAAGGTTTTGTTGTTGTTGTGTTAATACCTGAAAATTCACTTGTGCATTGTCAACCCTGTTTATAGTTCTTTCTCTATTATATTACTGACTTTAGCTGGGCTCTGCTGCCTCTTGCAAGTACCAGTTTACCTTGACAATTGCTTTTCCATCTCACAACCAGTCACCCTTTTGCAACTTCATTGCATATTATAAGCTCACTCACTGGCATGTTCTTGTAAATTGATGGCAGACTTTCTTTTTAACCCTTTGATTCTAGTTTATTTTAGCAACTGTTTCCTCATTGATATTTTTTAGTGTTATATTATTTATCTAACCTGTTTCCTGTTGCTTTTTTAGGGTGAAAGCTTGTGATTTTAGTCCTACAGATAATAATAGAACCATTAGCTCTAATATACTGTATTTTTTTAAAAAAACTTATTGAGGTATAACATACACACGGAAAAGTAGAAAATAAATGAATTTTCACAAAGAAAACACATGTAACCATAATTTTAATGTAGTAGCTTTACGATTTACTTAAACTACATGAGAAGAAGCATTATTATTGTATAGTCACACTGTCTATATACACATCTCTAAGAATGTGTAAAATTTACAGTAGAGTTCATGGCTAAAATAAGAAAGATCTATGCCAGGGATGTGGCAGAAAAAGGGGCTAAGTGTGGTCTTAAAAACCAATGTACCAGAGATAGGGATATAGCTCAGTTGGTAGAATGCTTGCCTCACATGCATAGTGCCCTGGGTTCAATCCCCAGCACCACAAATAAATAAATAAATAAAACTGATATACCAGAAAAAAATTACCTTATGAAGTGCTTTAATGTACAATTGACATTCAAAATATCTGTTGATTAAATGAGAAAGGACTTCTTTAAGGAACCCAATGGACCAGTAAAGAGAGAGAATAAAAAAGTGATTCAGTTTCGTTTGGCAGCTCTATTATCATCAGACCAACTGAGCTGAAGAAACCATCTAATCCAGTAATGCCTGAACCTTTTTGCAGCTACCAAAATTAAGGGACGGGTGCATAGGAGAGCCATTTGAAATACTTGTTCCTCAAAAGATTTTATACATGTCATTTTCATTTAAAAACAAAGAGGCATAAAAAGTTCACGGTTTAATGAAGGCCAAAGAACTAATTAATTGTAGAGTAAAAACTAAAAGAAACAGGATTATTTCTTCTTCTTCTTTTTTTTTTTTTTTTTTTTCAGTGCTGGGGATGAAACCCAGGGTTTGTGCATGCTAGACAAGTGCTCTACCACTGAGCTACATCCCCAGCCCTTTTTATTTCTTGAGACCAAGTCTCCCTAAGATGTCAGGCTGGCCTTGAACTTGTGAGCCTCCTGCTTCAGCTTCCTGTATAGCTGGGATTACAGGCATGTGCCACACTATCTGGCTTATTAAAATAGTTTTTTTTTGTTTGTTTGTTTGTTTGTTTTTTGGTGTGAGGGAGTTGTTTGTTTTTTGGTACTAGGAACTGAACTCAGGGACACTCAACCATTAAGCCACATCTCGAACCCTATTTTGTATTTTATTTAGAGACAGGGTCTCACTGAGTTGCTTAGTGCCTGACTTTTGCTGAGGCTGGCAATGAACTCATGATCCTTCTGCCTCAGCCTCCCAAGCTACTGGGATTACAGGCGTGCACCACCATGCCTGACTTAAAATGTTTTTAATGGGAAAATTTTCAACTCTTTTAAAAACATATTGCCTATTAAGTTACATTTTTTTCAGCTTTCTGTAACTGAACATTTTCAGTGTATGCTTTGGAAGTGCCCAATAAAAGCCTGTTTTAATTAATATTATTTATATAGGATTTTGTATAACATTTTATCATCATAGAAAATATTGTTGATCTCAATGCTAAAAGGAAGGAAATAATTTGCGATCTCATAGGAAGGGAAAGAAAGTCAGAAGCAAATGTTTTAGAATCCTAAATTTAGGATTATCTTCTGATTCTTGGACATTCCAATTACATAATAAAGACCACTGAACTTAACCAAAATCTATTCCTTTCCCCCACCACTCCCAAAAACCCAACCATGTCCTAAAACAATAATTGAAATCAGCAATAATTTGTTCTTTTGTTAATGTGCTTCAATACTCAGTATGCATTCTTTCATACATATCAATAACTGTAAAAAAATTAATAAGTAAAACCAAATTAATTGTGAACTGGCTATATGAACTTTCTAATACCTGTATTTAATGGATAGTTTGTTTCGTTTTAGGTTAATAAAAATATATGATGTGCAAACTTATCTCTTGAAGTTTCTCCATTCCTTTTCCTTTCACTGCTTATGGACCTCATGTTTCTATCATTTTAAGTCTGTTAATTTGTGAATTTTCTCTACTATTTACTTTAGGACTTCCATCTGACAGGCAAGTAGGTATTGATTTTGGTTGGGTAGTTTGAGTTAAGAGTAACTAAAATTTAAAACATTAATAAAAGTATCCAACTTCTACCTTATTTGAAATGTCTTTGTGACTTTTACAGCTTTTATAATTCTTCAGGTGAAGTAAATGAGCATGCACTGAAGAAAATATTTTCAAGTGTCAAAAAGGTATTCATGGTTTACCTTTTATTTTTGATATTATATGCATTATTTTCAGCTCTTGAAAACAGTATTTTGACACAAATTTTAGCAATATTTGTCTTCACAGTATCCAGTAAAGCAGATAAGAAAAGGCTTGCTCTTCCCAAAAATTCAGAGAAGTTGCTTTGAATACAAAACTAATGGTTAAAAGTATTTATCTTGTTCCCATCCTTCCCTTGACTACTCTAATTAACACTTAATACTGATTTCTTCTCTTCTATATTTCCCTATCCCGGTATGATTTATTCTAGGACTTAATCCATTTCTGTTATTTTATTTAGCTGTGGTTCTTTTTTTATATATACAGGGTACAGGGTCTTGCTATGTTTCCCAGGTTGGTCTCAAATCCTTGGGCTCAAGTGATCCTCCAAACTCAGCCTCCTAAGTAGCTGTGACTTCAGGCACTTGCCAGTACACCTAGCTTTGCAGTTAACTATTTTTATACCACAGGGACAACTTCCTATAGAGCACTTAATTTGAATTCTCCACAGCTTGCTTCAGGTTCAGTTAAAAGTTGTTAGACAGTCAAAATGGATTATTTTTCCCCAATGCAAAATTTTCTCAAGTTAATAATTTTTCCCCCTTAAAGTTTGTATCTTTGACTTGAGAAGAAAAACAGAAGTATCATTCAAAAAGCATCCTTAGTTGAAAATGCTTGGGCTTTTTTCACAGTTACATTTGAGTATTTAAAAAAATGTCCCTGCAAAAATGTTTTAGGTTTAAAAAAACAGAAGCAATTTTAGTTTAAAAGTACAAATGTCAAATTTAGTTGTTGAAACTGTCACAGATTTCTATGAATCATGGTGATTATTTTTCTCTTTGTTCCGATTACTAAGTTTTCAGTAAATCAATTATTTTTCTGATTAAAAAATGACTTAGTGATACTAACAACACATTTGTTTAGCATGTTATGTTTATAAAACTCGACTTAGTCATCTTGAATTTAACTTTTGGGGCTATGTGATAATCATTCTCGTTTAAATTTCAAGTAGAAGCTAAGGAATCAACCAAGCTTATTTAATAAACTAAATATCAATACAGATAACTAACTGTTTTGAGGGGAGTGACTATCCATTAAGTGAAACAATGGCATTAATATTTTTTATGTGTATTTACTAAAGATTAAGATTGCACAGGCCTGAGGTTGTGGCTCAGTGGTAAAGCACTTGCCTGGCGTGTGTGAGACCCTGGGTTCCATTCTCAGCACCACATATAAATAAATTAATTATTTTAAAATAAAGATCCATTGACAACTAAAAAAAAATTTTTTTAAAAATAGATTGCAATATAGTACATGCCCTAAATAGACTAGAGTAAGTGAAGAATTATTTTATCTCTTTAATCTACATTGATCAAAACTGTGTCCTTTTAACTGAATAGAAAATAAACTATAAGACAGTTTGCATACTTTGCAAAGGTAAAGCATATAACCATGTGAATTCTTTGTTTATCTGTGACTCAAATCTTACTATTAAGAAAGTCATTTTAAAAGCCTGGCAAGCTGGTGCATGCCTATAATTCCAGCTACTAGGGAGACTGAGGTAGGAAGATCACAAGTGAGGCCAATTTTGGGCAACTTAGCAAGACCATGTCTTAGAACAAAAAGGACTGGGGACATGTAGTTCAGTGGTAGAACACTTGCCTAGCATGTATGAAGCCCTGGGTTAAAACACTAGTATCGAAAAAACAAATAAGACTCAGTTTTATTGCTAAATTATATTAAGACATGCAATAATAATTATAATCATTAAGATATGTATTTAATTTTTTTCTGTTTTTTTTTTTTCAGACTGTGGTAGGTTGGTACAAATTCCGTCGACATTCAGATCAGATCATGACATTTAGAGAGAGACTGCTTCACAAAAACTTACAGAAGCATCTTTCAAGCCAAGAACTTGTTTTTCTGCTGTTAACACCAAGTATAATAACGGAAAGCTGTTCTACTCATCGGCTGGAACATGCTTTATATAAACCTCAAAAAGGGTAAATGTTAGTTGGTCATTGGCTATTTTAAGCTAATAGAAAAAAAAAAACTAATATTTTTATAGTACTTTTGGCAGTTTATAAAGTTTTCATACAGTGTTGTATTACATTGTCACAACAACTCTCTGAAGTGATCTTACCCATCTGTTAATTACAGATGAGAAAATGAAAGTCAAATAAGGAAATCAGAAACTAAGTGCAGAATGATGAATTGCTGTTATTTACTATGTGAGGTAGAAAAATAATTGTTGTAGATATTGGTTAATTAGGATATCATGTAGAACTTAAGCCTGGGTACTTGTGCAGCTTTTTTGTAACCTTCTTCAAAGAAGCAAGGTAGTTTTTGATGGTCTACCAAAACGAGTCTAATAGGAACTCCCCTTCATTCTATAAACATTTGCATTGAACATAAGAATTAGGATAAAGAGTACCAGTTAAAATAAAATTTATTGTTCATGGAAGATAGGATAAATCTCAGACTTAATACCGTAAGGTTATCTGAAATGCTTGGGACCAGATTGGACTAAACATGTATCAGATTTTGAAATATTTGCAGATATCTAGGAAATGAGACTGAAGTCTAAACACAAAATTCATTTATACCTTATACATAGTCTGAAGATGATTTTATACAGTATTTTTATTGCTCCTGTGTTTTGAGTGGGAACTAAGGGGAAGTATAGAATTTCCCTTGTGGAAGGTTTCATATAGCGATTTCATATTTTGGATAAGGGATGCTCAACTCATACTGCCACCCCCCACCCACCCACACTTTTTTAAATTGCAGTGCTGGAGTTTGAACCCATGGCTTCATACATGCTAAGCAAGCACTCTACAGTAGGCTACATCCCCAGCCAAATTTTCTTTCTTTCTTCTTTTTGTGGTGGTACTAGGATATTAAGAGATTGAGTCTAGGGGTGCTATCACTAATGTACATCCTTAAACATTTTGATTTTTGTTTGTTTTTGGTACCAGGGATTAAAGCCAAGGGCACTTAACCAACTGAGCCACATTCCCCAGCCCTTTTTATTTTTTATTTTGAGGCAAGGTCTCACTAGGTTGCTTAGAACCTCACTAAGTTTTTGAGGCTGGCTTCAAACCTGAGATCCTCCTACCTCAGCTTCCAAACTGCTGGGATTATAGATGTGCACCACCACACCCAGGTCCTGTTGATTTTTTTTTTTTTTTTTTTTTGAGACAGGATATTGCTAAGTGGCCAAGACGTAAACTGTTTTTTTCACAAAATTTTCTTATACCATGTTCATTTCACAGCTTTTAAAAACAGGTTGCTTTGTGTTGCTCAAATAAGTAAATTCTATCTTGGTAAACAGTAAGGAATGGGGGACCATTGTTTAATCTTGTGGAGGTAGTCTATTGGGATTGTACATGCTATTTTTTCTCTTTATATTTTAAACTTATAAAATTTTATTTCATCAGACTGTTTTATAGGGTCCCTTTAGTGGTTGCCAATCTGGGCATGTCTGAACAGCTGGGTTATAAAACTGTATCAGGTTCCTGTATGTCCACTGGTTTTAGAAGAGCAGTAAAAACACACAGGTAAGATTCCTGAACTGTTTTTCCACTAAACCTACTCTTACTTATTTTTTGAAATTAGGTTTATCACACAAACAGAAGAATAAAAATGAAAGGAAAACTGATAAAATGAATATATTACTCAAGAAAACTAGACTGTTTGGGCAGGGAAGGAGGGGTACCAGGAATTGAAACCAAGGGCACTCAGCCACTGAGGTACAAACCCAGCCCTATTTTGTATTTTATTTAGAAACAGGGTCTCAATGAGTTGCTTAGTGCTTAACCATTGCTGAGGCTGGCTTTGAACTCTCGATCCTCCTGTCTCAGCCTCCCAAGCCACTGGTATTACAGGCGTGCACCACCGTGCCTGGTGAAAACTAGACTGTTTTACAGTCTCCAAGTTTCATTCTACTACTAGTCTATTTACACAAGTTATGTATATTTACCAGAGGAAATTGTAATTTTTCACAGCTCTGAATTTTTTAAAGAAGATGGATCTTTAAAGGAGGTACATAAGATAAATGAAATGTATGCTTCACTACAAGAAGAATTAAAGGTAAGTTAACTAACATCAAACACTTAAAGACTACTTCAGAGTTCATATCAAATGACCACTGAAATTTTTCATGATTAACCTGACTTCAGATTTATATTATATTCCTTTAGTCATAAAGACTGTGATCTTAGTAGTGAATAACAGTTTAATCTTATCCACATTATATCTTGGCTATAGCCATTCATTTTGGAGATGTCACCTCCATTCCAGAATCTATGCTGAAGAATCAGCCCTTATTTGGGACATGTTCTTGTGTCAAAAAGAAAAAAGCCAGAAAGATTGGAAATTCACAACAGCCTTAAAATTTAGCTCAAAACTGCCATGCCATCACATATCAATGGCCAGGGATACATAATCCTTTTACAGGATGAACAGGGAAGCAAATATTTGGTAACAATGCAACTACCATAGCATTGCAGTCTATCTTATTATATCATGTACTTTGAGAAGTAGCATCAATATGGGAATGGAAGTGCAAGAATTTACTGAGCCTGTGAAAGATAAAGGAAAGGGATCAAGAACAGCCAAGAAGAGCCTTCAGACTGCAATTTTGCAAAAATCTGAGAAAGAAGAAGGGGATAGGACTACAGTTGGTTAGGTAGAACCTCAGATTACAGTGCCATTTAAGAAAGTTCAGGTAGGCTGATGAGCAAAGTTGTTCTACAGGTATGGATTTGCACTGTTCTAGCACCTAGCTCATTAACTGGTTGGAAACAGCTGTGGCTTAAGCCTAATCCAAAGCTGGTGATGTCCTTAACTATGCTTCCCCCAATTGGATATCTAAGTAATATATGTCCATGGATACCCTACTTGTCAATAGAGCACATTTAAGAGAAAAAGGGTTAGTATACTTTACATACCACTAATATTACATACTGTTTTTAATATGAGGGGGGAAAAAAAAGCAGGAATTTTAGAAAGTAGAAACACCCAGATCTCATCATTTAACATAACTATTTTCACTTTGCTATAGTCTCCAGTTTTTCCCCTAATGTATACACACTTTGTAGTTGACAATCATGGCAACAAAAATGTGTTCCGTAAGTTAAAAAAAAAAAATTCCTATATCATTAAACATTTTTCATATTGCTACATATTCTTTATTTTTAATACAGTATATGTACTTTTTAAATTTTTAAATTGTCAGATTTATCATGTAAAACATGTTTTTATACACATTGTGGAATGGAGAAATTGATCTAAATAACAAATGTATTGCCTCACATAATTATTATTTTCATGGTGAGAACACTTAGTTTTCACTCTACATTTTTTAAGAACACAATGTATTGTCATTTACTATAGTCTCAAAGTTGTACAATGGATTTCTTTTTCTTTCTTTCCATTTTAGCAGTGCTGAGGATTGAATCCAGAGCCTCATGCATGCTAAGCAAGCACTTTACCACAAAGCCACATCCCCAGCCTTGTACAACAGATTTCTTGATCTTATTCATCCTACCTGCCTGTGATAATTTTTTGCAATATGTCTCTGTCCCCATTTCCCTACAACCACTCCAGCCCTTGATAATCACTTTTCTATGAAATCAACTTGCTAGCTGGGCATGGTAATACATTCCTAATAATTCCAGCAACTCAGGAGGCTGAGGCAAGAATCACAAGTTTAGACCAGCCAGAGCAACTTAGCAAGACCCTATCTCAAAATGTTCTAGGGATGAAAAAAATAAAGAGGAAGAATCCTGTCATTGGTGACAACATAATCAAGCTGACTTCTTTTTGTTTTTCTTATGGTACTGAGGATTGGGCCCCGGGTGCTCTCCCACTGAGCTACATCTCCAGTCTTTTTAAATTTGTTTATTTTGAGATGGGGTCTCACTGAGTTATTATTGATCTTGCCAAGTTGACCAGGCTTGCTTTGAACTTGCAGTCCTCCTGCCTCAGCCTCCTGGGTTGATGAGAATACAGGTGTGTACCACTCATTCTTTTTTTAAGAGTGAATAGTATTCCATTGTGTATATATTACCACGTTTTTTTTTTCTCCATTCATCAGTCAGTGGACATTTACATTGATTCCATGTCTTGACTATTTGAATCATGCTGGGTAGATATCCTAAAAGTATCCACTGAAACTGGCTTAACTTTTAGCCTATAATTAGAAGTTAATAATATTAAGTTTGATATAATATGAACATGATCTTTATAAAGTTTTGTTGCATATTGAGATATACTCAGGAAGTGGAATTATTCATACTTTTAAAATTGATGATACACAGCCACTTGCTTTTCAAAAGTATTGTCTAATAAGAATTAAAAACTTTCAGTTTCCTTTCATAACATGGAAATAGTCATTTGTCTTTTTTTCAATGTGTACAGGAACTTTTCATCTCAAAATTACATCAGTGAATTAAATATTCCAGTTTATTTCTATTGTCAAGGAAATATTTGGTATGATAAATCCATCTCTTAATGAGAAGTTAATATGTCCGAAAAGCATTTTACAACCTATAAAGTACCATACAGAGTTATTATTAAAGTCCTCTAGAAAATAGCAAACTAAAATAAAATTTATAGGAAGTGTACCATTGAGGGTTTTATATTACTTGTGAATCTAGACTGTTATTTCATGATTTGGTGTTTTACCTATGCTATTATCTTACTTTGTAGACTGTATGCAAAAAAGTAGAGCAAAGTGAACGAGAAGTAGAGAAATTAATAAAGGATGTAAACAGATTAAAACAAGAAATTAAAAAAAGGCAACAAGCACAGATTCAGGCAGCACGTAAGTAAAATGTTAACACATCACTACTTTCCTTGCATTTCTCACTGACTGGAATTATGGATGGACCAACTGCGCTCACTGAAGAATATGTCCACTTTGGGATTAAAAGCAGTCATTTTATTAATACTCTTAAATTTTACCAAAAAAAGGAACTAGTACTATAGTAGGTATGCTGTATTTGTTGATATTAAAGTATATAACTTAAAATTTAATTTTCTCCTAGAATATTATGGCATAAAAATAGGAATTTGGGATTATACATGTCATTATTCTCACTTTGAATAATTTGATAGAATTGTTGAAGTCTTTTTGACTCTTTTGACAAATAGCTAATTATAAAAGAACATGGAATTTTTATGGAATAAAAAATGTTGATCCTGTTGTTTTCTTTTGTGTAGGAGAGAAGAATGTCCAAGAAGACCCTCAGGAGAACATTTTGCTTTGTCAAGCTTTACAGACCTTTTTTCCAGACAGTGAATTTCTTCATTCTTGTGTTATCTCTTTGACCAATAGGCATATTTCTAAAAGTAGGTGTAACACCAACCACCATCTGGATGTGGTTGACAACCTGACCTTAATGGTAGAGTATACCCATACTCCTGAAGCTAGCCCAGCTAGTACACCACCAACAACTAAGCGAAAAGCTATAGACATAGAGGACAGATGGAAAATGAAGAAATCACGATTGTTAAAGAGAGAACACAAACTATCTAAGACAGGTACTGATAGTAGTAACCAAGAAAAAGCATCCACAACCAGTAGCCCAGAAACAGATGAAGAGATTGAGAAAATGAAGGGTTCTGGTGAATATCCACTGTCTCCCACATTTTGATCCTTTTAACCCAAAATAAGACTTTTGATTTGGTCGAAGGGTAAAGACAAATGTTTATTATTTTTATTATATTCAGCTGTTCATAGTAATACATGGATAATGTATTTTGTTTTTACTATGTTTACCTTTTTACAGTACTACATAGACAAGTTCTACTGCATTTATTTTATAAAGTACTTCCAAAAATATCAGATGCTTTTATTTATTTATATTTTCGTGGTGCTGGAGATTGAACCCAGGGCTTTGCACATACTAGGCAAGTGCTGTACCACTGAGCTACACCCATAGCCCAAGATGTCTTTATTGTAAAATCAAAACTTTTCATCTTGCTTTCACAACTGTTGAAGGAAAGGCCTTAAAAAGGCACAACATTCTTTTAAACTAGTATGGCTCTTAGAAATGGGAAAGAGACTATTTTTCACAACATGGGAAGAAGCATAAAGTTCATATGAAAATTTATATAATCTTTATGTCATTAACCTTATGTAAGTCATTAAGATTTTAGTCCTTATGCAGTGATACAAAGTATATTATTAAACTGGACATGATGGTACACATGTGTAATCTTAGGTACTTGCTACTCTAAAGGCTGGGGTAGAAAGGTCACTTGTGCACAGAAGTTAGAGGCCATCCAGGGCAACATAGCACTCAAAAGTGTCATGACAGGTACCGTGGCAGTGGTGCACACCTGTAATCCCAGTAGCTTGGGAGTCTGAGGCAAGAAAATGGCAAGTTCAAAGCCAGCCTGAGCAACTTAGGCCCTAAGAAATTTAGTGAGACCCTATCTGTAAATAAAATATAATAAAAAGGCTGAGGGTATGGCTCACTAGTTAAGCACCCCTGGGTTCAATCTCTGGGACAAAAAAAAAAAAGTGTTTATGTGCAGTTGTATTTATATGTCTTCCATCACATGAAGGCTTTACCACTGGACATCATACTGAATATACACTTTGAACTTTGTACTCCTATTGCTTTTTAGAGACATTACTAAATAGAAAAAAATATATAATCTAGTAACAGAAACTTGAATCTTCTGTGTTAACATGCATTAATTATTTATTATGGGATGTTTATGAATCCACATCATAAATCAGGATGACTTGTGTAGATTTCTAGTGTTGTTTTAACTTAAATAACTGGTACTGTACACAGCAGGAAGACAAGAATCATTCTGAACCTTATTTGCAACACTGGAGTAAGAGAAGATGATTGGCAGTAGATTTATGCATTTGTCATCCCTTTATGTAAAGAATACTATCAGTTTAAGGATAGATTCATCCAGGAATGAATGTTTTGTCTTTCTGAGACAGCCGAGTGTACATCTCTGCAAAGAGAAGAACCGCCCTCCTAACCAGGCACACTTACATTTGATAATTAGAAAATGATTTCAAGCATTTATAACTTCATGGGATCCAAACATTACATAAGAACTACACTTTGCTGCACCCATTTCCCTAAAGTCATCCCATCTGTAACACAGAATCTGACCCAAAGTAGTATTCCAACACAAGCCATCCCTCCCATATTTCCTATTCCTATTAGTGGTTCATTACTTTATGAATGAACTACTGGGGATATAAGTGACAATCAGACAGGACCACTTTTATTCAAGGTACGTACCATTTAATGAGTATTAACATTTTAAGTAAGCAACCTATTCCATGAATAGTCATATAAAGGAGATGCTTCACTCCTGATCTCTTGAAACACTTTTCTTCGAAAAGGTTAGTTTGAGTCAGTAGAGGTCAATTTATTATAAAATAAGTTTATTGTTAATAACCTTATATCATTTATTCCCGATATTTGATGTTACAAACTTTAGGGTCTTTGAGATATGCAGGATCCTTGTATGTAACTGGCATAAACCCTGTAAAGAGATATTAAAGTTCTTCACAAAAAATAATGAGCAAACTTTTTACTAATTCAGTTGTTCAAGGCACACTTACCCATTATTTGAGCTCTCTTAATAGCTTTTGTAATTTCTTTCTGTTTCTTCCCACAAAGACCTATAAAAATTTAAAAAGAGCTGTTTTATTCATAAAAATGCCAGTACTCAAACTATAACAACTTGTAAGTCAAAGGTCAGATTTTCTTTTTTTTTCTGTAAAGGGCCAGAATATTAATATTTTGGCCTTTGGGGCTACAGTCTCCATTCACAACTACTCTACTCTGCTGTTTTAACTACAAAGCAACCATGTGGCACTATGTAAATAAAACTACAAAAACAAGAGGCAGATTGGATCTAGTCTATTTATGGACAGTCTGCGATCAACAAGTTTTAGTTTAGAATGTCTGAAGTATAATTCACAACATAAGGTATAATTTTTTTAAGCCCAAGTTTTTCACGTGGCCAGTGTATAGTTAATCCTGAGTGTTTTCCCTTAAGTACCTAAATCCAGTGTGGTCTAACAATGTAGTATCTGGTCTAATAGTGAAATAACATGATCTGAAAATTTGCCAGTTTTCTTAAGTGACAGAGATACATATAATTCTTATTTAAATTGTTATGATTAAAAAACAAATACCTGTTATATGTCTTCCATAAATGCATCCAGTAAACGGAGAAATAAATTGGGATAGAAGCTGTGTTTAGAGTTTTATGTGGAGGGAAAAAAATTTATATTAATACATTGGTTATTCAACCCTGAATGTAAATTTCAAGGAAAAAAAATCCATATACATGACTTTCAAGTAATATAAATATCTAATAAGTTTTAGACAAATTTTAATTGAGATATCATGTTAACAAGTCATCTCTCTAAATACTGAAAGTTAACATCTAATCCAGCATATCAAAAAGTCTATATAGCAATAACATTAATTAGCATATGCAATCAATGCTAAAGCGGTATTGATAAATCACAGATATCCTTCTAAAATACTGCGCTTATAACAAGTTACCAAAATATTTCATCTATCATTATAAGCTATTACATACTCATGAAGATAAATTATCAGACTGAACTGGGATCTTCAAGAAGTACACGCATCGGGCCATTTTCTACAACTTATGTTCTATTAACTTAAATACTGTTCACTTTGTAGGTGCCAGACACTGTTCTTAGCACTTTGCATAATCTTCCTCCTATACTGTATTCTAATAATTTTTTCCCTCAAAGACAATTTACAATTTATATTACCATCAGTACACTTAACTCCAGCACCATTCACTCCCCCTAAATTTACCACTTCTAATTTACTGAGAGTAAACAAGACAAAGCATTTGAAGCAGTGACAGGGATAGTGAGGTACAAAGATCAGCTTCACCAGAGGAACTTTTTTCCAAAGTATTTACATCTACCAAATGAGAATCACTGCTATGAAGAGCTATATTATCCAAACCTTTGGAGCATAGAAAATAGAGAAATTCTGAGCTAAAATAATAGTAAATAATTGAAGTTGAATAAAGATACCTTACAAATAGAATTATAACCAGATTTGAAATTATGAAGTTACTAAAATAGTTGCCTCTACATAAAACCTGCTATAAAACTGATTAATAAAAATTAAGTATCAGAGTAAAACCAGATCTCACCTGTACATTTTTATAATCTACACGTTTCTCACACAAGATACATTTCTTAAGAGGCTCCTTATAAGGATTTTCCATTGGAACAGGCTAGGATAAAGAAAGAGAAATCTCATGACATATTGTGATCTGGATTTGAAAAAATATATTAAAGTTAACAAATGTAAATCCATTCAAAGGCACACAGTACATTTCTTCCTGTGTACATATTTTGCACAAGCACTTTATTTTGTGTCAATTTGGCTTAAGAAGGAATTAACTCATGAAGATTCTGGAATAAAATATAAACTTTTTAGAAAAGAGTTTATAGGAGAAACAATGCAAGTCTGGTAAAAAAAAAAAGTGACTTTATGTTCAAATGCTTTTTTCCAATTACAGATGTTTAAACATTTTTAATTTAAATTCAATAAACTTCTTTAAACTAAGATAAACTTAAAGCAGAATAGATGACATGCTATTCCTATGTTAGTATAATCATTAAATAGTTTATTCATCCCCTTATTATGCTTTATCTATGGCCCCAAACTGTTCTATAAGTTAGTGTTAGCCTTTTTGACTTCTCTGTCTTCACTACGGTCTCTGATGCTTCTGTTACGCCTTCCTCCTACTGTCAGAATGTTTTGTCTCCAGTATGGAGGTGCTTTATAGAAATGTTTTTGAAGTCTACAATCCCCTGTAATTGTATGCAAAATTTTAAATGAATATGACCATGTCCCTTTTTCTGTAGAGAGGATCTATATCTTTCATTAGTCTCAGTGGGGTTTATGGCCTAAAAAGGGAGTAAACTTCCTTTATTCTCTTAAAGTATGGTGTGTGGATTAAATGACCAAGATAGATGCACAGAGGGAATAGATAAGTGCTTTTCTTTTTTCCCCATTTCTCAAACTTTCTTAGTCTGATTTATATTCAGCTCACATATAAAGACTATATTCCTTCTCAACACTGGCTAAGTGCTTTGTATGGGATGATTAGTGTCAAACAAATTACCTTTGCATGTAGTAAGGAAACCTATGCTGCCCAAGTCCATGATAGTACTTCAATCCTATAAAAATATAGGTTAGAGGAAACTATTAAATGTCCTGGTGTAAAACTTTAATTTTGATGCCACATTTATTAAGGCAGAATACCAAAAGTGACAATTGAAATAAAGGTAGGACAATCCCTTTGTTCAATTATATACAATTATTCTATTCACCTAAACTACCTTTTGAAATTCCCAAATAACATAATCTTATGTTTAATATCTAGGAAGAAAATATGGCAAGAAGCTATGCTTCTAACAAGAGTCTACGAATTCTCTTACTTCGAAACTCACCTAGGAAACTATAATCAATGAGTTATAAGTTCCAAACTCAGAGTAATGATAATTATATTATTTTATCCTACAGCTGAACTCCAATTAGTTATAAAAATTTGGTCATATTTGCAAGTGCTTTACTAACATAAAGAAAAAAATTCTTACCAGGTCCTCATTGCTGGTTCTCTGTTTATATTGTGAACAACCTCTTCTCCACAGCACTGCAATTAAACAGAAACAGTAATAAACAGTTCCTTTTGTTAGCTGAGTAGCTAATAAGGATTTTTGTTTGAGCTCAGTGCAGTGAGTGTTTGTAATCCCAGTTACTATAGAGCCTGAGGCAGGAGACTCAAAAGTTCAAGGCCAGTTTGGGCAACTTGGACCTGTGGCAAAATAAAATTTCAAAAGGATTGGACAAGTACTTCAGTGACAGGATGCTTGCCTAGCTTGAGGGAGGTCCTGGGTTGATCTCCAGTACCACACACACCAAAAAAAGATGTATGGAGTTAAGACTAATCAAGGGACAAAACATAAAGGTTTTATAGTCTTTAAATTTGGGTCAGAATAAGACATAAAACGTGATTCCTAGGGCTTTAAGGATAGGGCATATATTTTCCTCCATAAAACCTTTCACCTGCTCTCTTCCTGACATTTACTCTTTTATTCCACAGTTATAGACAGATTTTAACACTAATACGTATAGAAACAAAAGAAAGGCACTGTTATACCAAAGGGAAAATGAAAAATGGATTCTTTCCAGAGAGTAATTATTGATAGCGAAGAACAAAGATAAACTTCCATAAATTATAGATTCGAGGACCTATGTCACAATTCCGCTCTGATCTGGGACCTTAGACCTCTGAAGTTTGTTGTTGGGTGACTGTGGAAATGTTCCTTTCTCCCCAAGTTTATACGTAAAAATCTTAGGCAGGGCCCTCCCCTCGGTACAGAGGATTGAACCCTGGGGCTCTCTACTATTGGACTAGATCCCACTATTTTTTTTTTTAAAGCCAAGGTCTCGCTAAGTTGAGGAGACTGGACTTGGATTTGTGATCCTCCTGCCTTAGCTCCCTGAGTAAATGATTACAGGCCTGCACCACCGGGCCAGCGCCCTTTTTACAGAATTATTCCACCCATCACTTTCCTTTTATGTTCAAAAATTTTTAAGGAGTTGACTTAACATCTCACGGCCCCATCAGGTCTAAAGCAGCAGTCGTGGACATTACTGATTCCCACCCATTTCAGAAAAACTTTATCGCCTAGAAATCAGCTTCGTTTTGTTAACAGTGATGAGTCCACCGACTAATAGGGCCAAAGCAATGGCTATGGTGCTACAATGGAGACTTTACCCGCGCGAGTTCCGGGATTTGGGAGGCAGACAGTAGCCGTTATCCAATGTGTCAACTTCTTCCCTAAAGTACCGCAAGAAGCAATCACACCTGCCATGGTTCCTCGTTATTCCTTTTCCTTTCCTTTTTCTAAGTCGTCCAAATAGGTCCCTTCCGGTAATCTTCCCTGTGGACTCGAGGACTTCATTCTAAGGTTCCGTAGGCAAACGCGGAAAAACCGCGAAAGGGGGTTTCTTAGTGCGCCTGCGCAGCAGGTTATGAATCCCGTCCTCACCGCGCCAGAATCAAGTGACATTTGTGATTGGACCGAGAGGGCGGACGCCTAGTTTGTCTTCCAGGTTCCGGTCCGAGAGCCCTGGGAATAAGTTTGAGGTCTTTACGAAAGGTGGATGGAGACGCCAGCACTTTCTCCCTGTATCCACCTCCGCTCAGCCCTCCTTTCGAGGTCGGCGGCTGAGTCACTGTGGACAAAGTCGGGGCAGCGTTTACGGACACAGTCATGGAGGAAGGTTGTTCCCGCATCCGCCGGCGGGTGTCGGTCTGCAAAAGGAACCGCCCTAGCCTAGCAAGCACTTCTGCCATCCCCTCGGCGGCCCAGCTCCAGTCCCGCGATGAGCAGGAAGAGGAGGAGGAGATGGTAACCCGGAGCCGGCGGCGGAAAACCGTGGGCGTGCAACCTGTTGAGGTACAGCCCCATCAGCTCTCAAATTCCCCCAAGGGCCTTGTCCTCCTTATGACCTTTGGGGCGCTGATACAAACCTGGGCCTCCTACTTCGCTTGCCCACCTAAAGGGGTGAGAAACCAGATAAAGAGGACGTGAAACTGCCAAATTGAGGCAGTTTCTTCCCAAGTGCGGACAATTAACCAGTTAGATAAAATACCTTTCATTTCCTCCCTCACTTTTGTTACTGCTGTTGTAACTTATTTTGTTACTGCTGTTGTAACAATACTGAGGTATTGCCCAGTTATCCCCACTTCTATATAGACATGAAAGGTAGATACAAAAATTTTACATCCAGCAATTAAGTGACATAACTGAGACGCAAACCCAGACTTCGAAATTGCTACTGCCCCTACTTTACTAATAAAAGCTGTTTATTGAAGACCCATTACGCCCTAGTTACTGTGTTAAACAAGCTACATTATCTAGATTTTACAACAGTAATCAGACCCTAAGAAATTGAGAAACTACTTTCTCACTTCAAATTCTGTGTCGCTATACTCTTGCTGTCTCAAAGTGTCTCTTCTGTTCAGTAGAGCTCCCCAAGTCAGTGTACACGCATTCTGTATCAATTCCAAATTCAACAGAATTTCTCTGTAGTATATTGTGGTACAACTTTTTGTTATAGGCCAGTCACTGCCTCAGAGGCTGGGATTGGAAGGGAGAGATGCAATTCCCAGAGGCTGTCGTTCTTGCAGTTGTTTAACAATTTAGCACAGGTTTAAGCATTAGAATCCTAGGGGCATTAGAGAGCCTGTGCCAGGCCATGGGTTCAATCCCCACCACCAAAAACCAAAGAAGTAGCCCAGTGTTGCTTCCAGTAGCACTTCTGGGCTTCCATGTTTCCATCTGTAAAATGGTAATAATTATATCTATTATAGGGTGGCTTACAGGACTTAAATATAATTATGTACTTGATACAGCCCTAGGCTGAAGATTTTATTATTTGCTTTAGTAATGAATTTTTTTTCATTCCACATTTTTTTAAATTTATTTTTTAGTTGTAATTTGACACAATACCTTGATTTTATTTATTTTTATGTGGTGCTGGGGATCAAATGCAGGGCCTCACACATGGGAGGCAAGCACTGTACCGCTAAGCCACAACCCCAGCCTTCATTCCACATTTTTTATTTATGCATTTTAGTTGTATTTAAGATGGGATTTGTTGTTGCACGTTCGTACATGCACACAATATAACAATATGATTTGGCCAATATCACTTCCCAACACTTTCCCACTCCCTCTTTACTTCCCACTCCTTAGGCCCTTTCCTCTATTGATCTTCCTTTGATTTTCATGAAATTCCCCCACCCTACCCAGCCTTGTTTTCCTTTTTCCTCTGTAGTGAAACTTCTGTCAGTCATGAATCTGGAATTGCCTGTAAGTATTTTTGTTTTCTTTCCAGCATAATGACAGTGAAGAGGACATGTTTGGTGACTATGATAGCTTTACTGAAAACTCCTTTTTAGCTCAAGTTGATGATTTGGAACAGAAATACATACAACTTTCTGAACAAAGGAAGCATGCTACAGACTTTGCCACTGAAGATTTTTGTTCAGAAAGCATAAAAAACAAACTCAGTGTTACTACTGTAAGCAATTTTACTGAATACAAAAGTGATGAGCACACGGAGAACCAGACTGAGCATGAAGATGTCCCTGTTGAACCTGGAACTGATGTTTTGTATGATTTGCCTTCTTCTCAGGTTTTATACTTTGAAAATTTGCAGAACTCTTCAAATGATTTGGGTGATCAGTTGACTGAAAAAGGGGATGGGAGTTCATCCTTTCCCAAAACTGTGAATGAAGAATTGTCCCATAATTGCATAAAGCAACAAGAGCAAAATGATGGATCCTCTTCTAAAGTCAGAAGTAACTCAGATACAAGTAGGAGAAAAAGTATTAAAGATCATCTAAAAAGTACCATGACTGGAAATGCAAAGGCCCAAACACCAATATTTTCTAGGAGTAAACAGCTCAAAGAGACTCTCCTATCTGAAGAAATTAATGTTGCTAAGAAAACAATTGAGTCTTCATCAGATGATCTTGGTCCTTTTTACTCATTGCCCAGCAAAGTGAGAGACCTTTATGTTCAGTTCAAAGGAATTGAAAAGTTATATGGTAATGCTTTTTTCTGGAATAAAAACAAAATTCTCCATTATCATAAAATTAGTGTAAATCAATAGAAGTAAATGCTTCCATGATTATATTTCTTATTTTGAAAAGTCCAGTATTATTTGTCTCAACCTTCCATCCCTATCCTGTCACCTTGAACCTCTTTTCTTCCCTTCATACTCAAACATTTCTCAAACCGTTTTTTGTGCTTATTTAATTTTTCCTTATTTTGAGTATTTCTTTGGCCCACTCCAATTCCGGGTTCTGTACTCTTGCCTGAGAAATGATTATGGTATCTAAACTCAATGGTAATTCCAATATTTAACCTACCTGACTTCTTGGTAGCTTACCTGCAGATATTGACCACACTGTTCTTGAATTTTTTTTTTTTTTTTTTGACACCCTGTTTCTGTTTTTTCTTTGATTATCTAGCTGTACACAGTTTTCTTAGCTGGCATTAGCTAGCTTTGTTTTCTCTACCAAATTTAGTTGAAATTTCTTTGAACATTCTCATGTCTTGAATGAAGAAGTTAATAATCCTATTGATTAAAATTAAGCATGTTAAAAGACAGTGCCATTAATATTTAAGTGAAAAAAAAATTGTAGCAGAGTAATAATGTACTTTATGTTTTTTTAAAAAATCTGGGTCCTTTTACATCATTTTAAACAAAGAAGGGATGGTTGCTGCCGTACTAAGAGATCAGTTCATCAACCTATCACTGTATTAGTATTTCTGAAACTCCTGTTGGGATCTTAGGAGCTGTATGAAAATGTGGGTTTTCAAGAAGACAATCAGGTTGGAGAAGCAGGACTACAGGAAATAAAGTCTCTACAAGAGTAATATAATCATTGTAAATATTTGGGACTCACTAAACAAAACAACAAATAATTTTTAACACTTATTCAGACATAACTATTTTAAATAGCTTTGTAAATATCCTATAAACCATTCCTTTAATTCTTAAAAAACTATATTTAAGCCCAACTTATGAATAATTTTTTTCAAATATTTGCACATGCTTTGGTTCATGTTCAACACATTTATGATCTGCTTTAACTATATATTGAACATATAAAAATTGTCCACATATGGATTTCATTTTTTTTTTTTTACTTATCTGTTTATTTGGTACCAGGACCTCACACATGATCACTTTTCTACTGGGCTACACCCACAGCTTTTTAATTTTATTTTGAGACAGTCTTGCTAAATTGCCAAGTTGCCCTTGAACTTTTGCTCTTCCTCCCTCAGCCTCCCAAGTAGCAGGGATTGCAGGTGTGCACCACCACACATGGCTTGTACTTTTATTTCTGATACTGCTAGATTACTTTCCAAAAAGATTGTAGTAGTTTATGTTCTCACAAACTATACAGAAGAACACCTGTTCTTACTCTAGTCAGCTCTAAATTTCACAAGCATGGGACATTTATTTTTTATTTATTTATTTTTTTTTGATAATTTGTTTACTTTTCCAACCTAACAGATTATAGTTGAGCATATTTTATGTAATTATTGGCCACTTGCAATTCTTCCTGTTGTGAAATATGTCATTTGCTTTTCTTCTGATAAAATACTAATGCATATTTTTGAAGATTTTTAATGTTCTGCCTTGTCAAATTACTCTGGAGTAACTATTATAGTTTTCACATCATATCTTGAATCTGATCTGTTTTCATGAATCCCATTTTTGCAAATTGTGGGAATTGACTGCCAGGTAGTAATCTTTACCTTTTATGATTTAAACAATTCTGTCAGTTTAAAGTGGTTTCCATTCCATATGAAGTTCAAGTCCCCAAGTTTGTGCAGAATCTCATAGGGTTTTTTGTTTGTTTGTTTTGTTTTGTTGTTTTGTTGTTGTTTTGGTTTGGGTTTTTTGGGGGGTTTTTTTGTTGTTGTTTTTGGTTTGGTTTTGCTTTGTTTTATTTCTCCTCCTCCTTCTGTTTCTCTTTAAAATGGCTTTTAGGTAAACGAGGAAGGTAAGCTTACATATTCTGCTTACAGGATGTAAAAGGAAGAACTTAGAAGTCCCACAGGTCCTTTTACTGTCCTTTTGATCCTCTGATGTTCTAAATGACATGCCCTTGTCCACCGGGCTGCCCTGTTAGAATCTTACAACAAATCTCCAGCTGGTGATGAGGTAGAGTAGTTGTTCACACTGTTAAGTAGGCCTGAACTAAATTCTTACTGGCTGTCCACATTGCACATTTGGTATTTTTGACATTTAACATAGATTATAACTGCATTTGCTTCTAGGAGAAGATTGCCACAAGACGAAGGAGTTGATTTTTACCTTCTTGGAAAACTTCCTTGAGATTAACAATAAGAAAAGAGGAAATAATTTCTGTTTTTTCTCTGTAATTCCACAGAATGGCAACATACTTGCTTAACACTGAGTTCTGTGCAAGAAAGAAAAAATTTAATATATTCCTTACCAACAAGTGGTGGAAAAACCCTTGTGGCCGAGATTTTAATGCTACAAGAACTGCTTTGCAGGCGGAAGGATGTTTTAATGATCCTTCCATATGTGGCAATTGTCCAAGAAAAGGTGTGTTTAAAAAAAAGTGTTATTTGCTAATATTGTTGTAACATTAAGATCTAAACATCAGCATAAACACTACTAATGACTTTTACTGACTATAAAGCAGTACCTCTTTGTGATAATAATAGAACATTCTATCTTAAATATTTACTACTTTGTAATTTATTGACATTTTTATTATACTAACATACTGTATTCATCAGTCTGATTATTATGTGAAACTGCTTAGTAACTATATAATAAATATTAATTTATACACACACACACACACACACAATTCAGTAGTACTTTTAGGATGTACAAAAGCAACAGAATACTTACCTAAAATCTCTTCTAGTACTAGTTTTTTTAATTGTGGATTGAATTCTACCCTAAATGTTCTATTACTATTTAGCCTGTTTCTAAGGCAAAAAATAACCAATTTGTATAAAACAAAAGAGTTATTCTGATACTTTTTTTGACATCAAAAGAGGAAGTTTATTTTCACATTTATTATGTGGTTTAAACATTGCATTTATTTTGCAAAGATCAACACCTTATTTTTATGATATTTATTAGATATGTGTGTCTAATCTGACCCATTCCTATTGACTGATATTAAACACCACTTTAGCTTTTCTTTTTTAAATCCTTGTGAGCACTTAATAATTAGAGTTCTTTGTGTTTTGTTTTTGTTCATTTTAACTAATATTCTAGATTTCAGGTTTGTCAAGTTTTGCTATAGAACTAGGTTTCTTTGTTGAAGAATATGCTGGAAGCAAAGGAAGATTTCCTCCAATTAAAAGAAGGGAAAAGAAATCGCTATATATTGCCACTATTGAAAAAGGACATAGCTTGGTGAACTCCTTGATAGAAACTGGAAGGATTGACGGTCTGGGTCTGGTTGTTGTAGATGAGGTTGGTTACTACTTTGTAATTTATTGACATTTTTATTGTACTAACGTACTATATTCATCAATCTGATTATTATGTGAATCTGCTTAGTATCTATATAACAAAAAGTATTTTGATATATATACAATTCAGGTGAAGATATTTCATACTTGATAATCTTAAATTTGGTTTTATGTCAAGTGTTTCTTGCAGTGCAAATATTTGTATTTATAGACAGTTTTATAATATTACTTATGAATCTCTGATTTGTTAGAGTGTTTCCCCCAAAACTCATTAACTTAAAATACCAGTGGATTAATATATATGTACTATAGTTGTTATATTCAAAATGTTGAAAAGTTATAAAGCAAGGATTATATATTCATTCTATACAAATATATTCATGGTTTATGTGGGCATTGTATGAAGATTTACTTCTCCGACCCTTTTCTTTTCATTTCAAAGTTGCACATGATTGGTGAAGGGAGCCGGGGTGCTATACTGGAAATGACCCTAGCAAAAATTCTCTACACCAGCAGTAAGTATTTATTGACTTCTAATCAAAATACCTATATATAAATAACTTAATTCTACCAGTAGATTACGTAACCTATAGCAACATTCTTAAGCTTTCTGCCTTAGGGTGTTTTTTTTTTTTAATTTCTAAAGTAAATATATAAATTTTTGTTGAATGAGTAGAATTCTTTTATTTGGTGGTGGATGGGGCAGTACCCAGGATTGAACTCAGGGGCACTCAACCACTGAGTCACATTCCCAGCCCAGTTTTATATTTTGTTAGAGACAGGGTCTCACTGAGTTGCTTAGTGCCTCAAAGATGCTGAGGCTGGCATTGAACTCACGATCCTCCTGTCTCAGCTGCCCGAGCTGCTGGGATTACACATGTGTGCCACTGCGCAATAGGAATGAGTACATTAGTATTTAAGGAATACCTCTTATTCCTGTACACTCATTAGGTCTGTTTGCATAGTCACATCACTCAATTTTTGTGTTTCTTTATCTATGGAGATAGTAACAGCTTCAACCTGAGGAGAGAATTGTGAGTGTTATGAGTTAAAACATTTAAAGCATTCCACAGTGCCTGGACCATTCCACTCAGGAAGGATGTCATAACTATCATCATCATCCCAATAAAGTAGGATATTTAAGTGGTTACTTTAAGGAACTAGTTTGCAACATCAAATAGTCTTTAAATGTACATGAAATATTTATTCTAAATGTCATCTCTACATTTATTGATATAATGCTGTAATACTTAGCCTGTATATGGAATAGTTATTAACAATAAAATCAAATCTTAAGATTTGTGGATGGAGATGCTGGGGATTGAACTCAGGGCCTCACACTTGCTAAGTGCATGCTCCACTACTGAGCTACACGCTCAGCTTCCCCAAATTAATTTTGACAACAGCTGTATTTAGGTAGGTTACAGCACTTTAAAATCATTCATTTAAAAAAAAATTTATTGAACACTTACTGTAAATACAGCAGTAAATAGAACAAATCCCTTCTTTCATCAAGCCTATATTTTAATGAAAGTGAACAGATAATGAGCAAATGAATAAGAAGACATATGGTGGCCAGGTGTGGTGGTGACACATCTGGAATTCCAACTACTTCAAAGGCTGAGTCAGGAAAATTGCAAGTTTGAGACTAGCCTGGTCAATTTATCAAGATCCTGTCTCAAAAATAAATAAAAAGGGTTAGGGATGTAGCTCAATGGTTAAAACCTGCCTGGTTTCAAAAGAAGAAGAAAAGATGGTTTGTTAATGGTCATAAATTCTGTAGGACTTAAAGAAGAGGAAGAGAGGAAATGATCACCTATTTGTCAAATTCAATGAACATCTTAATTTTATTTCAATGTTTGACTATTTTTCGTTTGTGTGCAGAAACATTTTCTCTTGACTTTCCTACTATCTCTTTGTAAGTGGGATCATAGCTTAGCATTGAAAGATAGCAGAGCATAATGGCTGAAGACAGACTTTTTGAATCTTGGCTCACTTTTCTACATGACCTTGGGCAAGTTATATCAACAGTGCCTATGCTTCCTTAGGCATTAAATGTGGGTGAGAGTAATAGAACTTTTCTCACTGAATTGCTGCAAAGATGACACAGGTTAGTCTTTGTAAAACATCTGTACCTGCTACATGATGTTTGCTATTGTATAATTTGGCCTATCACCAGTGCCTTACGCTTAATAGATATTTGAATAAAATTAACCTTTTTAGTGGCTCCTTCTTTTTATTCTGTGTCATAGCTAAGCTTATTCATTTTGTACATTTTAGTTAGCATAAATTCATCTTAGGCTTTTCACATGTTTCCTATAGTGCCTACTAATTGTCATCCATACTCCTGACTTCAAGGACTACTTGTGTGCCAGTGACTCCTAGTCTGTATTTCCCAGTCTGTGTTTCCAGACTATAACTCTCTTCTGAAAAATATCAGCTGCCAACTGGAGACTCATGTTTGAATGTTCTGTGAGCAACCAAGCCTAACCAAAGCTTGGTCAGAGACTCACTCATTTCCTTCAAACTCATTCTTCAATCTGAATCCTTAGCCAGCCAAGTTAGACCTCACCACCACCACCACCAGCCCACCCCCGCTTGCATTGTAGCCCCATCAGACCTCAAACTCCTGTACTCAAATGATTCTCCCACCTCAGCTGGATAAAATCTTACAGTCTTCACACTTCCTATCTGATTTACCTCATGAATGTATTTTAAATTATTTTCTTTCTGCCCCTTTTCACTACTACCTCTTTAATTCAAGACCTCACCCTTTACTTACTTGGATTGCTACAGAAAGTACCAAGCTTCTCTTTTGTTCTTTCTTCTGCACTGTCTAATGTAGAATCAATGATCTTTCCCAGAAGCAATTAGTTTATTTTACTATTTGCCATCCTTTAATAGCTTCCCTTGTTTTCTGCGTAAATCCCAAAATTCATAGCACTGCCTTTTTGATTTGACCCTCTGCTCACCTCTTCAGATTCAGAGTCCACCTTAATGAAGTAGGAAGGAATAGCACTTAGTTCTTTTTCAGATAAGATCCTGAATGATCCCTTCAAAACAAGAGAGTAGCAATGAAGAAACATTTGCTAAAAAGGCTTCTTGGGTTTTTAATTTGGTAGCTAAGTACAAAAGCAACCATTTTTTACTCCTAGGAATTCATAGAACTTCATGAGCTTCATGTATTTTTAAAAATTTTTGAAAAAGTTGGCAACCTGATAGCAAGATTACGTGAAGAACTTTCAAGTTGCAAGAGTTTTGGACTCATTTAGCCCTATATCCTACAAGTGTCCATCACCCAAAGAAACATACTGTAACTTCTCATAAAGATGATTCAGATAGCCACATACGCATTTATACCCATTATTTTTGTTTAAAAGCCTTAATAAATATCCTACTTCTTGCCACATTTGAAATTTTATAAAATTCTAAGTAATAACTCTCAGGATTTCTGAAAGATTGCATTATTTGATTGCCAGATTAATATTCTGGTCAAATGCAGTTTGAGCATTCCCAATCTGAAAACCAAAAATATGAAGTGTGTCATAATCCAAAACTTGAGGGCCAAGACAATGCTACAAGTGGAAAATTTCACTGACCTCATATGATGGTCATAATATTCCTGCTTGAAGGTTCTATGAGCAACCAAGACTAAGTCAAAATGCAGGTACACTAAAATATTATATAAAATTACCTTCAAACTACGTGTATAAGATGCTTATGAAATAAATGAATTTTTTGTTTAGTCTTTGGTCTACCTCCCTAAGATATTTCTTTATGTATATTCAAATATTCAAAAATCTGACAAATCAAAAATCTGAAACAATTCTTTTACCAAGCATTTCAGATAAAGGGTATTCAACCTGTATTTTTAGTTTTCTTACTCTCTCCCCACTTCCCCTTTCCCATATTACTCAGGAAGTATTCAGAGCATAAAATATTGCTAAATTGTTTTATGATATATTAAATGCTGCATTTTCTTAATACTTTTAAGATTTTTTTGTTTTTGTTTCAGAAACAACTCAGATTATTGGCATGAGTGCAACATTAAACAACGTTGAAGACCTCCAACAGTTCCTTCAAGCAGAATATTATACCAGTCAGTTTAGACCAGTATGTACCCTAAGGTTTGCACTGTATTGATTTGTTATATATTCATATTAGAAATAAAAGTAAATATAGTATATTTTAAAATTCTATGGGGTAGTGAAGGGGCATAACTGCACTCACCATAGTATATGCTAATAGTTTGTATATAGAGAATATTAATTCTGTGAGGTCATGGATCTTGGCTTGGGTCCCTAATGTATCCATAGCACTGGGAATAATGCCTAGCCTATGTTGCCTCAGTGAACATTTATTGAGTGAAATTTTTTAAAATATTTTTTTTAGTTATTGATAGACCTTTATTATTTTTTATTTATCTATATGTGGTGCTGAGAATCGAATCCAGTGCCTCACACATACCAGGCAAGTGTGCTACTGCTGAGCCACAGCCCCAGCCCATATTGAGTGAATTTATTCAGACTATTTTTTTCACTTCTTATTTTCTAAAGTAAATTTTTAGCTGGCGACAGTTTAGTGAGATGTGCTTGGAGTTACTGACACATTGAAGATTTTATCTTAAAATATTTTCAAGTAGCTATGTTTTGGTAGTTATTCTTTCTTAATAAGTTAAGACTTAACATGCATTTAAATTTAAACTCCTCAGTAATAACGTTCCCAAGGTATTTGAAGGAAATAAACAAACATACTTCATATTTATTTGAAAATATCTCATACGTGTACTGCCTGTCTACAGTAATAGTACACATGTTCTTTGTCTTAAGTAGGCTTTCAGAAAATAATGTTTGAAAAACACCAGTTCTTAATTTGAAATATAATATTTTTACATTCCAAATTTGAAAATTTTCTAGAAATAGGTTTTAAGGTGGGCATGGTGGTGCATGACTATAATCCCAGTAACTTGAGAGACTGAGGGAGGAGGATCACAAGTTTGAAGCCAGCCTCAGCAACTTAATGAGGCCCTAAATAATTTATTGAGAAACTATCTCAAAATTTTTAAAAATGAAAAGGGCTGGGGAATGTGACATTGGATCTAATCCCCAGGGAATATTTTCAAATATTTTTTGAACTTTACATTAGACACTATCTTTTTTTATTTTTTGGTACCAGGAATTGAACTCAAGGGCATTCAACCACTGAATCACATCCCCAGCCCCATTTTGTATTTTATTTAGAGACAGGGTCTCACTGAGTTGCTAAGCGCCTCATCATTGCCGAGGCTGGCTTTGAACTTGTGGTCCTCCTGACTTTTCCCAAGGCACTGGGATTACAGGCATGTGTCAACATGCCTAGCTTAGACACTGTTCTTTTAAAAATGAAATGAGATGTGTTCACAAACTATTTTTGTCCACAAATACTTAAATTAAAAATAATATGTTGGTGTTTGGAATTAAAGCTGATGACTAACATAGGAAGTTTTAGATCTTAAGAGAGAAGGTAATTCCTTTACAGAAGATAAAGGATGTAAGCACTGTGACTCCCTTGTACTTCTTGTAACAAATACCAAAGCATTTTCCTTTTGGACATTAGACTACTTAATTCAAATCTTTCTTCAAAAGTATTAATCCCTATGTTGATTTAAAGAGGCAATAAAGAAATGGTAAAGCAAGAACTTTACCATTTTAAGTTGAAACGTATTTTAGATATCTTAAAAAAGCTAAAATCTTTGCATAGCTGTCCTTTCTATATCATATTTCACAAAATTTAAAATTGAAGCTATGTGGTATTAATTGAAATGTTTTAAAATTCAAGGTTGAACTAAAAGAATATCTGAAAATAAATGATACAATATATGAGGTCGACAGCAAAGCTGACAGTGGCATGACTTTTTCACGTCTCCTCAATTATAAGGTAATGTTTATAACCTTTATATCCCAGGTTCCTGTACTTTGCCCATGTGTGCTGGGACATCACAGAAGATTTGCATGGATGCCATGAGACAGTTTAAATTTTTGAGAAAAATGGCTCATATCTGACATATGTTGGACAAGATACGACTGATTCAGTGTAGCTAGTTTCCAGTTTTAACACCATATCACCTTATCTTCCTTTCTGTGACACTAAATACTTGTGAAGTTGTGTTTGTGTGGGTTTTGTGTATGTGTGTATGGTGCTGAGTATCAAACCCAAGACTTTACAGCAATTACTGCACCATTGACCTAAACCGTGGGCACTAAAGTTGGGGTTTTTGTAGTCACTGTAAGCCAATGCCATGTGAAAATTAACCTGGAACAGAAGAAGGCAGCTGTGTTTAGTTTCATTCTAAAGTTATAAAGACAGTACCAAGTTTGTACGTATCCCTTTATTGAGTTATTTGAGAATTAAATTTTTTTAAAATTCAAGTGCTACTAAGTTGTGAGGAAGTATGGATCTATTAAATTGTTTGGATCTAATAAAACTGTTATGTATATCTTTTTTTGGAGTTCTGTGAACCAAGAAAATTTGGAAACTTCTATAAATGTTTATTTATTTAGCAGTAACAACAAAAGAATAATTCATGGTCCAGGTAGGTCAGATATTGGTGCATAAAAATGTTAATTTCTACTGTGTTAATGTATTGTGACTTTTATGAGGAATACTGAAAAGAAGAGAAAGGAATTTTATAGCAATCTTAAAATTCTTTAAGATATCCTAAATCTACATCTTAATTCATTTTCAGTAAAGTAAAATGAACTGAGATCTTATATAACTTTACCTTTCATGTTCTTTGAATTCCTCATGCCTGTTTAATGTTACAAAAAAATCATAGTTCAGTGTTAAATTTTTTTATTTTTTAAAGTCTGTCCTTTAGTATTAGTGAATCTGTGTTTAAAAAATATATATTTGAAATTGTAGAGGATATGTCTTATGCAGTCCTTTGACAATATTAGGATCAATCTGTTTCTCTCTGGACTCTTGTTCTGCTTTGGTGGATATAGATATGTAGTAGAGTTATTAATAATATTAACCGTTTTCACTTCTGCTTTTTTTGCCATCAGGGATTGAACTCAGGGGCACTCAACCACTGAGCCACGTCCCTACTACTTTTTTGTATTTTATTTAGAGACAGGGTCTCACTGAGTTGCTTTGCACCTTGCTGTTGCTGAGGCTGGCTTTGAACTCAAAATTCTCCTGCCCCAGTCTCCCAAGCCACTGGGATTACAGGTGTGCATCACCATGCCCAGCTCCATTATCACTTCTTGAATTTAATTCATTTTTTATACCTTTTTTTAAAAATTAAATATACCCAGTAATCAAATCTCTAACAAATAACCTAAAAGTGAAATTTTGATATATTGTGTAGGTTTTCTCTTTTCTTTGAAATGATAAGATTAATTAAATGATAAATTCAGAATTATGGATTATTTGTTTATCTTTTAAACACACAGGTTAAAAAAAAAAAAAAAGGACAGACTTTCAGGGGGGCTGGGGTTGTGGCTCAGCAGTAGAGGGCTTGCCCTGGGTTCAATCCTCAGCACCACATAAAAATAAATAAATAAAATAAAGGTATAAAAAATTTGTTTTAAAAATGGTAGGCTTTCATGGTTTCTAACTATCTGGTTTCTACATCTTATTGTTTTGCAGTATTCTGATACCTTGAAAAAGATGGATCCTGATCATTTGGTAGCATTGGTAACAGAAGTTATTCCCAATTATTCTTGCTTAGTTTTTTGTCCCAGTAAAAAGAACTGTGAAAATGTAGCAGAAATGATATGCAAATTTTTAAGCAAGTATGTTAATCATTTAAAAATATTTTGTTTTATTTTTATCATGAATTATGGACTATGTTATATTTATTGAATAAGCACTGACTACTTCTTGCAGAACACTGTATTCATATGTTATCCTAAATTTTGAAGGAAATGACCGTAAAGAAAGAAAACTTAACTGTGAAATTCACATGTGAATTTTTATAGAGGTTTTACATGTGAAATGGAAAAATTCTAAGGTTACATGTAAGCTAATGCTGGCCAATGTAAAGGCTGAGATCAGTGATTGGAAATATTGGCTGCCCTGTGAATTATGTTGGAAATTAAAAAATTCTAGTGTCCAGGATACATCTTAGACAAATCAGAATCTGGGAGCAGGACCCAGGCAAGTCCAGCATACAGCCAAGGTCAAGAACTACTATCTTAGATAGTCAAAAAGGACTAATCATTACAATGATTATGGGATAAATCGTATCCCATATTCAGCTTAAACTTCTCTTTAATTACATACCGTTGCCTTTGTTTTCTTAGTCATCTTCACACTTAAGTAATTTGGACATTTGAATTTAATTTTCTAAGTAATTAAGAAATTAAGTCTTGGACTGGGGTTATGGCTCAGTGGTAGAGCACTTGACTAGGATGTGTGAGGCCCTGGGTTTGATCCTCAGCACCATATGAACATAAATAAATAAAGATATTGAGTCCAACTAAAACTAAAAAATAAATATTAAAAAAAAGAAATTTTAGTTTTCGGGACACAACATCTTTGTTTGTATGTGGTGCTGAGGGTCGAACCCAGGCCGCACGCATGCCAGGCGAGAGTGCTACCGCTTGAGCCACATCCCCAGCCCATGATTTTTTTTAACATTGGCTTTGTTGTACCCATAGAGATAAGTATAAAATGTCTTTACAAGTAGTTCAGTTTTTTTCTCCACATGTTACTCTTGTGTGGTTTTATCATTTTTTTCAGACTCTTTTTGGCCCCTTAGCCAGTGACTATTAACCTGGATCCTAATCTAGTCACCTTCCATCTACCCTTCCAATCCTATTGTAGAGATTAGTCTAATATAGAATTGATTTTATTGAATATTATAAGAATATAAATGTTTTGGAATAAGATTAAGGAGTTGCTCTTTTCAGTAAATGATAGTGTGCCTTTATAATGATGATTTAAAAAAAAAAAAAAAAACTAAGGAAGTTAAATTAGCATTGAAGTAAGGCAAGTATTCTACCACTGAACTATATACCCAGCCCAAGAGTTCATATTTCTAATGGATCTGTATTTTAAGGGAATATCTGAAACAAAGGGAGAAAGAAAAATGCGAGTTGATTAAGAACTTGAGGAACATGAGCAGTGGCAACCTGTGTCCTGTCTTAAAGCGCACCATCCCATTCGGAGTTGCCTACCACCACAGTGGTTTAACAAATGATGAAAGGAGGCTCCTGGAGGAGGCCTATTCCACAGGCACTCTCTGCCTTTTTACCTGCACATCCACCCTAGCAGCAGGTGTCAACCTACCAGCAAGAAGGTAAGAGATAAGAATGTGTTGGCCAGGCTCACAACTTTTTAATTCCCAGATTATGAAGAGTTTTGGTATTGTTTTACTCCCTTAGTAGTGGTGCGAATTTATCATATGTGTTTGTTTTTGGTTTTGCTTTGTTTTTTTGAGCATTTGCTGAGTCAATTGTTGTTGTTTTTTTTCCTTTAATCCTTTTTTTTTTTTTTTTGGTACTGGGGATTGAACTCAGGGGAACTCAACCATTGATCCACAACCCCAACCCTATTTTGTATTTTATTTAGAGACAGGGCTCACTAAGTTGCTTAATGCCTTGCTATTACTAAGGCTGGCTTTGAACCCACAATCCTCCTGCCTCAGCCTCCTGAGCTGCTGGAATTACAGGCATGTGCCACCACACCTGGCTTCCTTTAATATTTTAATGAAAAATAGCATTAGCAGATTTCCTGATATTAGAATTCTTTCCTGCTTTTCTTTTTTCCCCATCTGTTTCTTGGGTTTTTTGTTTGTTTGTTTGTTTGTTTTTGGTACCAGGGATTGAACTCGGGGGCACTCAACCACTGAGCCACATCCCCATCTCTATTTTGTATTTTATTTAGAGACAGGGTCTCACTGAGTTACTTAGTACCTTGCTTTTGCTGAGGCTGGCTTTGGGAACTCTCAATCCTCCTGCCTCAGTCTACCAGGCCACTAGGATTACAGGTATGCTCCACCATGCCCAGCCCTATCTGGTTTTAATGTTAGGATCTATTATTCTAGTTGTATAGACAGTTGGCAAGCTTTTTCCTTTTTTTTTTTTTTTTTTCCTATTGATCTGAAAGAGTTTAACAAAGACTTCCTCAAAAACCTTAGGGAATTGATTCATAAGCCATTTAATTGTGAATTCTTTTTATTTTTTATTTATTTATTTATTTTTTTTTGGTACCAGGAATTAAACATCCAGGGGCGCTCAACCATTGAGTCACATCCCCAGTCCTTTTTTATATTTCATTAGAGACAGGGTTTCACTAAATTGCATAGGGCCTCCCTACATTACTGAGGTTGGCCTTGAACTCACAATCCTTCTGCCTCAGCCTCCCAAATGGCTGGGATTACAGGTGTGCACCACCACACTGAGCTAAATGATCAATTTTTTATCAGTGTTAAAAGATGCAACTAATTAGAACAACAACAACAAAAAAAAAAGCGAGTTAAAAAAAAATGTATATATTTTCTGTTGGGAATACATGTTTATATCTCCCAATCAGATCATAATTGTTTTATCATCTTACTAGTTTTGATTCCTTGGTCTATCAATTTCAGAGAAGTATGTTCATCTCCCACTTATGAAACTGTCAGTGTCTTCTTTTTGCATTTCTAGAAATTTTTGCTTTTAATATTTCAAAACTATTCAGGTATACCAAGATTTACTTCAAATATATTATTACTGAATTATCAGTATATAATATACTTTTATCAGTACAACAGACCTTGTTTTACTCTTAATGATTTCGCTTTGAATATGAGGACCCGTATTTTACTCATTATCTTTGTTCGTTTATTTTCAAATCCTATAACCAATTTCTTTTAGTTTTTCAGAAAATTGAAGGAAAAAAAAGGAAGCAATACATCATATTTCTATTATTCTAGGGGTTACTCTTCCAATTTTAACAGTTTTATTCAAACATTTTTAAGCACTTTAGAATCAATAACTATCCTCTTCTGAGCATAACAAGAGTCTTAGCATTTGTATATTCTATTTTACCCTATGTATGTTCCTGTTACCTAGAATCTTACCTTATTTCAAAATGTTTTTTATCTTATGAACAATAATCATTTAAACTGACCTATAAATTGTACTTGTTTTTGGCTTACCACTATCTCTTGTATTCCACTTCTTCCTTCTATGATTCCTTTTTTAATTTTTTCATCCTTAAGTAATTATTTTTAAAATACTGCATTGGGGGTTAAAAATTTTGAGTCTTTGCATAGCTGAAGTTGTCTGTTTGGGCCTCACACTTTAAATAACTTCCATAGGAAAAGAATTCTAGGTTCAATTGTTTTTTTCCTTTTGGGTATTGTAGATATTGTTCCATGTCTTCTAGGTGATGCCTATTTTTGTTTCTGATGAATTTGCAGCTTTCTCCTCTCTAGAAGCTTTTAGACTTTTTAACCTTAAAATTTCATCATGGTGTAAAATAATAACTGCAGTTCTTACAAGTCCTCCCTCCCCATATAGTAACTGCTTTATATGCCTTTATAGTTTATGCTTTAAATACTTTCAGTCTTCACAACTCATCTGTAAGAAGGCTCATTACCTATATATTTCTTTTTTCTTTTCTTTTTTCTTTTTTTTTTTTTGTGTGTGTGTATGTGTGTGTGTGTGGTACTGAGGATTGAGCTTAGGGATGCTGTGCCACTGAACTATATCCCCAGCCACCTGCACCCTCACCCCCACCCCTGGCTTTTTTTTTTTTTAATTTTTATTTTAATACAGGGTTTCACTAAGTTGCCAAGGCTGGCCTCAAATTTGTAGATCCTCCTACCCCAACCTTCCAAGTGGCTGGAATAACAGGTGTGTACCATCACACCCAGCTGTTACCCACATTTTACAGAAGGGAAAATTGGGGCATGGAATAATTAAATAATTTACCAAACCTCATACCCAATGACTGAATTTCAGTGTCGAGATTTGTATCCAGGAAATCTGATTCTTAACAGTTTCAACTTACCTGCTTGTCATTCGTAGGGTTTGGCATTTGGGTGGTTTTCAATCTGGGGCTTTACACCTTTCTTCAATGTAAACTAATTTGGGCGGTTATTTCTCTATTTCTTTCTCCCATTATCTCTGTTCTCTGCTTTTGTAACTTCAGTTAGACAAAGTTAAGGCTTCCAATTCTCTTTAATTACACATTTTCAGTCTATCTGAGCTATGCAATTTCTTCAACTTTACTTTCCACATCAAAAAATCAGTTTTTTGCTGGGTGTGGTGATACATAGTGGTAATAGTGACTTGGGAGGCTGAGGCAGGAGGATCACAAGTTTAAGGCTGGCCTCATCAAGTTAGCAAGAACTTAAGCAACTTAGACTTTGTCTCAAAATAGAAAATAAAAAGGGCTAGGAATGTAGGTCAGTGGTAAAGTACCCCTGGGTTCACTTGCCAGTACTGCAACAACAACAAAAATCAATTTTTAGTCATATCCTTTTGCTTTGTTCATTCTTTACTCAACAGTTCAGTAGAATTTTTTAATGAAGTTTTAATTTCCAAAAATTCTCTATTATGGTACTTTCTTATAACAATATACTCTCATTCTTAACATAATCTCTCTGGAATTTTCTATGGATACTAATTAGAACTTCTAAAAATTCTCTACCATTTTGTTTTATCAATTTTAGACATTTATTCTATATGTTCTTGTTTTTCTTCTATATTGTTAGTTTTCTTCAAGTAGTCTTAAGATTGTTGAGTTTTATAAATAAATAAATAGGTTGGTTAGTATAGGTAAATGACATAGCTATTTCTTATTCTTTTGTACAGGAAAATTGACCACAGACTTCTCTATATCTGAGTATGACTCAAATTGTCATTTTTGTACATCAAAAATAGTTGATAGTCAGGAGTGGTGGCATATGCCTGTAATCCCAGCAACTTGAGAGGCAAGTTGGAGGCCAACCATGGCAACTTAACAAGACCCTGTCTCAAAACCAAATAAAGTAGGTTGGGAGTGTGGCTCAGTTGTAGAGACCCTCTGGGTTTGATCCCAGTACTATAAAAACAACAACAACAACACATACACACACACAGTTGTTATCTGCAATTTTAAATAGTTCAAAATAAAATAAATACATAAATATGGATATTTTGCTGGTGCATGTCAGATTTTTCATTTCTGGAATATAAAATAAAGAAACTTTAGAGCTGGTTGCAGTAGCATATGCCTGTAATCCTAGTGACTTGGGAGGCTGAGGAAGAGGATCAAAAGTTTGAGGCCAGCCTGGGCAACTTATTGAGACCCTGTCTCAAAATAAAAAGAGTTGGGAATATAATTCAGTGGTAGAGCACTTGTCTAGTCTGTGCAAAGCCTCAGGTTTGATCCCCATTACCACACATGCACGCAAAAATAACTTTGGGGACTACTCCTATTGATTGATCATAGGCCTTGAAGCTATTCAGACTAGAGTTCAAATGATGGTACTGGCAATTACTAATTTTTTGGTTTAGGGTAAGCCACTTAACTGAGATTTGGCTAACTCCTTTGTAGAAAAATAAAATAAAAAAGGGTATTATTAAGTATTTTTTTTAAAAAAATAACTGAGCATTAGTGGAAATGCAAATCAAAAGTACACTGAAATTCAAAAATACAAATAATAATGCTGAAGAAGATGCAAGGGAAAAGGAACACTTTTACATTGTTGGTGGGGTTGTAAATTAGTACAACCAGCATGGAAATTAGTAAGAAGTTTCCTCAAAAGACTAGGGATAGAACCACCATATGATCCAGTTGTACCATTCCTCAGTATTGATCCTAAAGAATTAAAGTCAGCATACCATAGTGCTATACACATGCACATGCTTATAGCAGCACAATTCACAACACCCAAATTATAGAACCAGTCTATATGTCCATCAGTTGATGAATGAAAAAAAAGGTGGTATATGTGTACAATAGAGTTTTATTCAGCCATAAAGAAGAATGAAATTATGTCATTTTCAGAAAAATGGATGGAACTTGAGAGAATTATGTTAAGCAAAATAGGCCTGACTCAGAAAGTCCTGTTTTCTCCCATGAGAAAGCTAGAGAGGAAAAAGGAAAAGAAAGCAGGGGTGGGGGTGGATATTTATGAAAATCAAAGGGAGGCCAGTAGAGTAGGGGAACAGAAGGATGGAAGAGGAAAGGGAGAGAGGAAGTAATGGGGGAAAAACAAATTTTATTATTCCTTTGTGTACTTGCCTATATGAATGTGTAACAATGAATTTCACTACTATGTATAATTACAATGTACAATAATTTTTTTTAATTTTTAAAAGAATTACTGAAAATATATACATAAAGAACCTAAGGCATCCTAGTTTTTGGTAAATAATAATTACCTATTATTTTGTTAATACATCATTAAATTTAATATCACATAGATCTAATTAAATTGAGTTTAAAAATAGATGCTATTGCTGTAGATTCAATTTAATTAATTTTGTCAATTCCATAGAGTTATTTTAAGAGCTCCCTATGTTGCTAAGGAATTTTTAAAGAGGAATCAATATAAACAGATGATTGGCAGAGCTGGCCGTGCTGGAATAGATACTATTGGGGAGAGTATCCTTATATTGCAAGAAAAAGACAAGCAACAGGTAGTACTCAATCTGGTTGGTTGATTTTTTTTTCCTCCCCTTGGTCTTTGGTCTAACCCCTTATATGTGATCATCTTTTAAAATTAATTATTAATGTTCCTTTAAATGATGTATCTTTCTCTTATATGATTAAAAATTAGAGTTTGAATATTTTTATATTTCAGACAATGAAAAAGTATTTTCCCTATTTAACTTTTTAATTTTATAAAGATACCTGTTAAATTTTTATTCTTTGTCTTTTTGAGTTTTGTTGTTTTGTTTTTGTCCCCCTGGCTCCACAAGTTTCATGCAAAAGTACAAAATTTTATATTGAACATAATTCATGTTTAATAATAACACAAAACATAACATTATTTTAACTTTTATAGGTCTTGGAGCTAATAAGCAGACCACTGGAAAACTGTTATAGCTGTCTCGTTCAGGAATTCACCAAGGGAATTCAAACTTTGTTTCTGTCTTTGATTGGTTTGAAGGTATTTTTAAATATTTTTAGTGTTATTACTGTTACCTGAGAGAATAGAGGTAAAAACTTATGCACATTATAAATTATGAAAGAAATGTTAACATTTCTTTATGTTATCTAATATCTAATATGGAAAGGAAGTTTATGACATACTAAATCTGAATCTGGATTTATATGTATATTTTTTAATCCTTGAGTTATATTTCAAATTTTCATTTCTTATAACTGGCATATAAATATGAGACTTTAGTGTATACTATGTCATATCAAAAGTAAGAGACTTTAGTGTATACTATGGGGAATAAAAGGAACTGTAAAGCAGTGGGTTCTTGTGTGGGATAATCCGACATGTCTGTCCGTATTAGGAGTTAGGTACAGCAGTCTTGTGACCATTCTAGGATATTATTAACACTGGAGAAATCCGTAGAGTTTTTATCAGATGGGAGAGAGAAAGAGAACTATGACAGGAAAACATTCTTTTTCCTGATATTAAAACTTAACTCTCTCACAGTGATCCTTTAGTTAAATCTCTCTTTTAGGGTTACTCTTGTTAATTAAAATTTATCCCTATCCCTGAGGTCTTTCACCCACAAAGTGGCAAAGCCAGAGTTTGAATTTAGCTTTGTCTTTATAGATAGTGTTCTTACCCATCATATAGTTTGCCTTCATCAACATGAACAGTTTAAGTAAACATGTAAAATAAAACTGATAAATAAGAGATATCACAAGACAAAATTTTTTATTATCTTGCAGAAGCATGTATAATTATTGTATCACCTGGTGACTTAAAAGGGTGAAAGAAAGGAAAAGGAAGAAAGGAATTAGTGTTGGGTTTGAAAGAGAAACAGATATTAGATAAGCAGGGGGAAGAGAAAAATAAAAAATGAAAGATAAGAAAGCTTAAATTGATGTGGGTAATAGCCAATAGACTAGATACTCTAGCTCTACAGGAGGGCTGAGGACTCTGAAGAGTAGAAGACCAAAGGAAAACATTGGCACAAGACCATGTGCCATAGACTGGGGAGAATGGAGGACCGTGCTTAAATACTAATCTGAAGAGTTGATATGGTCACTTGTGGAAAATTAGTTTCGTGGTCATTCAAGTATTGCACATACCTGGGTATTATTTGAGTAATACATCCAGTTCTCTTTTTATCCTAAGTTATTAACTCTCTCTTAAGCCTCACAGAGTTATCTTATCTATAAAATGAGGATAAAATGGTCACTGACTTACAATGATTCAAATTTTGATCTTTTCCCAAGCTAGCACTATGTGCTGTGGTAGCTCACAGGGTGCTGGACAGTGACAGTGAGCTATAACTCCTAGTCAGCCTTGCAATCATGAGAGTAAACAACCAATGCTACACAGAGTACCATGTTGCTAAGTTATGATGTTAATTAGGCTAGATATATAAAATGCATTTTTAACTTATAATATATTCAACTTATGATGGATTTATTCAGGATGTTCATTGTAATGTGAAGAACATCTGTAATTGTAGGCACTATTGCAAGACTAGTTTGGAAGCAAATCCATGTATAATAAATAGGAGAGTTGCCAAGGAGTTAATAAGGGAATGAGAGAGATCATAAAGATCATCTGGTTTTAGTACATATATATATTAGGTAAAGTAACAGACCCAGAGAATTAATGATCAGTTTGGTTATTCAGTGAGTTATGATTAAGATGGGACTGTAACTCGGATTTCTGACTTGTTGGCCTATGCTCTTTCCAGTGTGCATTGTATATGTGGAACATTTGCTGAGTACACATGAAACATTTACCAAGATAGGCAGTATTACAGGCCATAAAGTAAGTCTCAATAAATTTAAAAGGATTGAAAACATGGAATATGGTATCGAATGACAATAGAATTATTAGAGTATACATCAACAATAAATAGATACCAAGGAAATACCACATATTCAGGAACTAAAAACACTCTTTAACCCATGGTCAAAGAAGAAATCACAAGAAAAATTAGAAAATATTTCCCATATAATGAGAAAAAAAGCAATAAATCAGAAGTAGTGAGATGAGAATAAAGAAGTGCTTCAGGAAAAATAAAAGTGCTTCAGGGGAAATTTTATAGCTTTACATGATTATTAAATATAAAAAGATCATAGTCAATGATCTAAATTTCACTTTAGAAAGCTAAAAGAAAGATTAAAGGAAGTAAATAATACAGATACAAGAAATAGAAATCAATGAAAACAAAATAGATAATGGAAAAAATTAATGAAACCGTAAGCTGGTTCTCTGAAAAGATCAGTAAGGTTATCAACTGGGTTGGTCAAGAGAAAAGAATGTATAAAAATACTAATAGAGACCATATAAACAGTTAATGTCAGGACTGAGAGGAAGATAATCAGTAAAGATCCTAGAGACATTAAAAAGATAGTAAGGGTTTATCCTTGAATAAATGTATCCTTAAATATTGTAAAATAAATGAAACAACTTGGATGAAATAGGAAAAAAATTTGAAGGATATGAATTTCCAAAATTAATTGAAAGAGAAATTTTAAAATATGAATATTTTCAAATCTCTTGTCTATTTTTGTAATTCAGAACTTTCTCACAAAAGACAACTCCATATCTATATGACTTCACTGGTGAAATCTATCAAACATTTAAGAAAGAAATAATACCAGTTATACACATATTCTTCCAGGAAGTAGAGAAAGAACTGCTCATCTCATAAGACCAGCATTATTTGATACCAAAACCAAACAAAGATGTTAGCAAGAAGACTACAGACTAGTATCTCTGGTAAACATAGATATAAAAATCCTTATCAAAAGAGTAGCAATCCGGGGCTGGGGCTATAGCTCAGTGGTAGAGTGCCTGCCTCGCACATGTGAGACACTGGGTTCAATCCACAGTACCACATAAGAATAAATAAATAAGATATTGTAGCCATCTATAGCTAAAAAAAAAAAAATTAAAAGAGTAGCAATTCATCAGTACTTTATAAAAGTACTATTGCATGATCAGTTGAGGTTTATTCCAATAATGCAAAATGGGTTCAACATTAAAAAGTCAATGTAATTCTTCATATTGATAGAACTCAGTACTCGTTCATGATGAAAAAACTCAGTAACTAATAGAGTAAAAGAGAACTTTTTCAACATAATAAAGAGTGCTTATTTAAAAATCTACAAGTCTTATCACACTTAATAGAGGAAACCTAAATATTTTTCCTCTAAGATTAGAAAAAGCAACAGCATTTGTTCTCATCATACTCTTCAACATGTTATCCATGGTCATGGCCAGTATAGTAAGGTAGCCATACAGACTGGAAAAGAAGACATAAAGTCATCTGATTTGCTGATGTCAATGAACTCAAGGAAAGTCCAAAGGAGTGTGCAAAAACTATTGAGAGTATAGTTAACATTGTCATAAGATACAGGGACAACATAATAAAACAATTATGCTTCTAAATGCTTACTGTAAGTAATTATGAAAACAATTCCATTTACAGTGTCATCCAAAAAACATGAAGTACTTTGGGATAAATTTAACAAATATGTGCCAGATCTATACACTGAAAACTATAAAACACTGCTGAGAAAAATTTTAAAAGACTTAAATGGAGAGAGATGCCATATTCATGAATTGGAATTTTTAGTTTTACTTTTTCCCAAATTGATTCATACAGTCAGTGCAATCCCAATAAAAATATCAAGAGATAATTTCTGTTATTATATTTGAAGAATTGGAGGCAAAGAAAAGTAGGTTGTGTAGGCTGCTTTTGACCATGTATCTGTGCTTGCATATTCTTTTTTTCTTTATTTTTGTGGCACTGGGTATCAAACCGAGAGCCTCACATCTGCTCTTCAAGTGCTCTACCACTAAGATGTACTCACAGCTCTCTTTATTTTGAGACAATGTCTTGATAAGTTGCCCAACCTGGTCTTGAACTTGCCATCCTCCTGCCTCATCCTTCTGAGTAGCTGGGATTACAGGTGCATGCCACCATTACCAGCTGTAATTATATTCTTCGTGAAATTATTTAATAATGACCTTGCCCCACTGGGATGTAAGCACTGTGAAAGCAGGGCTCACAGTTTCTCTCTCTCTCTTTTTTTTTTTCCATTCATCACTGACTCTCAGTCCCTTGGACAGTGGTTGGCATTTGGACAACACTCAGTAAATACTTGAATTAATGAAATTAACCTTCGAATTAGGTATGAGTGAACTTGTAGGTTGGAGCATCAGTGAAGAAGCTAGCTTTAAGAAGCTCTGGAGAGGCAGAGGTTAACCCAGTAGGGTAAAGTCACTATTGTCAAAAAGGTTTTCAGGGAAGAATAGAAAGATAACATGAAAGTGGTAGAGGAATCAAGTAAGATGTCTCATCCACCCATCCACCTAGCCTCCCACGAGGTTAAAAGTAATCAGTCAGGTAGGAAACAATACAGAAACTAAGTACATTTGTAATCCACAAATTGAGTATCAATTCTTGGATATCTTAAAAGTGCATTTTTAGTTTAATTGAATATTAAGAATGATTTTTATTAGAAGGAAGAAGAGAAGCAATATAAAATGTGCCCTATAATATAACTACTAAAATTTTCCAGTTGAAGTTTCATCAAAATTATAAGAGAAAGAAATATACTTATTGATTTACTATATTTTAGTATAACATGCGGATTTCATTGAAATTGATTATGAAAGAATTATTTTAATTCAAAGTCAATTGTGCATCTGAATTCCAAGTGGAGGGCTGAGCGTTACTTATGGTCTCCATTGTTAAGTAGTAAATAATAAGAGGGGGTGGGGGAAAGGGCGGTGAAAGACTGGGAAAAGGCGATGAGAATGAGAGAGAGACAAAAAGTGATAAAAACAAACTATTTATTTACAAGAAAGTTAACCTTTCAGGCAAAGTTTTGCCTGATCCTGTTTTAGTCCATCCTGTTTTAGTGGATTCTTTCAGTTACATTTTCCATGTTTCTTTATTTTTAATGCAAGTTTTAGAATTAAAAGATACTTTCACAGTTGGATTGAAAGGGCAAAGAGAGGTTTCTGGAAGGAGGTTGGTGGGAATTAGTGAAGATGCATTGGGCACTAAACAGCACAGCTTTGGAGATACTGTGAAAAAATTATTTAAAAACCTTAAGAGTTTTTTAATGAAAAATATATATGTGCTTTCACCAAAAAAAAAAAGCGTGAACATGATATCTTCTTCCTTTAATTACTTTTCTTGTTAATTTTTAGATTAGTTTATAAAATCGTATGCAACTATATAGATTTTATACCAATTTTTTTATTTAAATAGCTTTGAATTACAGAAATATATAATAATCTTGCTTAATGTACAAAATGATGCCTTGAATTTAAGGAAAATGCTCTGATGATGTCCTGGATTGTTTCAGATTGCAACAAATCTTGATGATATATATCATTTTATGAATGGTACATTTTTTGCCGTTCAACAAAAGACTTTATTGAAAGAAAAAAGTCTCTGGGAAATAACTGTCGAATCACTTGGATACCTGACAGAGAAAGGACTCCTACAAAAATATACTGTTCTGTCTGAAGAAGAATTGCAATATAATTTTCGTATTACAAAATTAGGACGAGCTTCTTTTAAGGGTAAGAGAGATTTAGGTAAACTCATACCTCATTATTAATCTAAGGCAATGTATTGGAAAAATACAAATTAAATTTATCTTTCTTTAAATTGGATTTGTGATTTCATATTTATAAACATTCATTTTATAAGCTGATAAGCTACTTCAACTTTCAAAAGTTAAAAAATATTTTGAATCAAAAGTAAATTAAAATACTGCAAATGTATATAGGGGAAAAGATGGTGATCCCACTTTGATACTTCCCTCCCCAATAACCACACAGACCTTGAAATCCTACCAAGAACAGCAAGTTGGTTTATATTTTCCCAGACCTATTCTGTGCTTTTCATTTCAATTAGTAATACATGCATTTATACAATTTTAAGTTTTTATTTTTAAAGAAATAAATCATTCATATTGCTATGGAACTTACTTTTTTGCTTAATATGATACCTTAGAGATTATTCTATACCTAAAGAGTTTCTTCCTCAATGGTTATATCATAATTTACTTAATGGAAACTAATACACTTCTGTTGTTTAAAAAAAAAAAATCCCAAAACTCAGGATTATATTAAGGAAAGTTCCATACTCAGTCCTATTTACACTCTCTCAGGAGCTACCACCATTAACAGTTCAATTTATGTCATTATACAGTTATACACCACAAAACAGTGCTTGAGTCAACAACTGACCACATATACAATGGTAGTCCCGTAAGCCCATAAGATCATATCACCAATGGTGTCCTTAGACATCTTGGGTGTTTTCTCAAGGATGAAATATCTCTTTGTCATACCCAACTGTATTTTCATTGTGTATATATATGTGTATATGTATGAACTTTTTTTAAAATGGAGTCATTGGGGTTTTTGCAATTTGCTATTCTCACTTATAAAACATAATGAATATCTTTTTTTTAAATTTTTTTGGTTGTAGATGAACACAATACCTTTATTTATTTTATGTGGTGCTGAGGATCGAACCCAGTGCCTCACGCATGCTAGGCAAGCGTTCTACCACTGACCCACAACCCTAAACCCCACCATGAACACCTTAACAGGTCTATTCTTTTTAGTCTATCACATTTTTCTTTTAATACCCTATTCATCCATAGTATGGATGTAACAGTTTAACTATTCTTTATTGAGGGAAATTTGCATTATTTCTGATTTTTCTCGGTTGTGAATAGAGCTGTATGGGCATCTCAATTTATGTATTTTGTATTATGTACATATGGAAATATTTCTCTTGGCTAGATTCCCAGAAATAGAGTAATTGGATCAAAACTTATTAAATATTGATTATTCTATCAAAATGGCCTCCAAATAAGTGAAGATTACATAGTAAGAGACTTTGAAGACTTTTTGTTACATTTAATTAACTTCTAAATAAGACTTTATTTAAAATCAGCTCGTTCCTCCTTGAGTAATTATGAAAGATGAAGTATCTGTATCTTTCTTTTAGGAACTATAGATTTGGCTTATTGTGACATTCTCTACAGAGACTTGAAGAAAGGTCTTGAAGGGCTTGTGCTTGAAAGCCTTTTGCATCTCATCTACTTAACAACTCCCTATGATCTGGTTTCACAATGTGACCCTGATTGGATGATATACTTCAGGCAGGTGAGAATATAGGATTTTTCTACTTAGGCTACTTAGTTTATCAATGATGTTTGATCTTTACTTTTTTTTCACTCTATTAAGATATATTTATTGTAATCCTAGCGGCTTGGGACGCTAAAGCAGGAGGCTCATGAATTCAAAGCCAGCCTCAGCTACAGCGAGGCCCTAAGCAATTCAGCAAGACCCTGTCTCTAAATAAAATATAAAACAGGGCTGGGGGTGTGGTTCAGTGGTCGAGTGCCCTAGAGTTCAATCCCTAGTACCAAAAAAAAATTAGAATTGGGTCTTTTTTGTCTGTGAGATTTTTTTAAAAAATAATATGACAACAACATTTTTGGCTTGTTTAACTTAAATATTACTTTTCTGTTATATATAAACATATTAATTATCCAAAAATAAAGATACCAAAAAAAAAGGATTATCACTGATCACATTCCCCCCAAAACAGTTCTTCTAAAGTTTAGTGACTTCTGCATTTTATAATGCCTAGAGTGTAAAGAAAACAATGAAACTATCACTGATGAGTGAGAGTTTAGTTATATGAAAGGTCTGTCAGAGCCAAGCCTGATGATACTCCAAACCCAATGATGTTAATACATACAAAGGAATATTTATTTTATTGCCAGTACCAAGGTAGAATTAGCCCCACTTATAACAAACCTAAATGATAGAGTATATACTTCATTTTGATTTTACTGTGAACAGGCTAGCTATATGAACACACATTATGCAGAAAGAGTATATAACTTCTATTATTATGATTTTGATTGAACCTAAGCCTTCATGCATACTATATCTCCAGTCCTGCAATATGTATCTTTTTGCAGGGTGTGGGGTGGTGGGTACTAGGATTTAACCCCGGGATGCTTTACCACTGAGCTATATCCCAGCCCTTTTTTTGGTTTTTGAGACAGGATCTTCCTAAGTTGCTTAGGGCCTCACTATATTGCTGAGGCTGGCTCCAAACTTATGATCTTCCTGCCTCAGATTCCAAAATCACTGTGATTACATGCATGTACCACCACACCCAGCTAGCATATAGCTTTTAATCTCAGGAAATTAACTTCTACTTTTAATGTCATATTTTTAAATCATTACTATAAGATTTTTTTAAGTGTTGCTATATATAATGCAATTACTTTCAAAACCTTTCCATCTTCTCCCTCTCCCCAGCCATCTGTAGTATTAAACAATCACATGGAAACCAGTATTTGTGGCCATGTCTTTAAGTAGAGTCATGTATCACTTAATGGCAGATATGTTCTAAGAAACACACTGGTAGGTAATTTCATCACTGTATGAACATCAGATGGCTATGACATTACTAGACCATGTAATCTTATGGAACTATCATCATATATGTGGGCCTTGACTCATTTTGCCACATGAGACTGTAATTCTACTAAAATATGTTATATTCTAAAGAATATAACATATTCTTTTAAAACTTGCAATATTTATAAATAAAATCGTCATTTTTCATATCCTTTAAAATCATGAAAATGTGATTTCCAAAGAAATGCCATATTTGTTTCAAGTGGCACATTTTTAAGATACATTGATTTTTTTTCCGTGCATGTATTCTTTTTCTACAGTTTAGTCAACTCAGTCCAGCTGAACAAAATGTAGCTGCTCTTCTTGGAGTCTCTGAAAGCTTTATTGGGAAGAAAGCATCTGGTCAAGCCATCAGGAAGGTACCACAGTCATTTACCCTTCCTAAATAATGAAGTTCATTCAACAAAACTAATACCATTAAAAAAAAAAAAAACTAATACCATTCATCTCCTTTAGTGATTGGATCTTTTTGTTTCATTTTTTTTTCTTTAAATTAATAAAATTTCCATTTTGCTATTTAAAACATATCTTTCTGAATACCACAAATGTAAGAATTTTTTAAAGGCTATTTCTGGATGGTGTGATGGCCATTTTTTTTTCTTTTTGATATTTTTGCATTTCTGTCATACATGTATAAGGCTATCATAAGAAAGGATAAACCTTATTAATCTACCTTTTTTTTTTCTTTACAATGGAGTACACAGTTTTTAATTCTGCAAAGCAGACAGGTACAGTGGTCTAGGGTCTAGTCAGAGATAGTTGTACTTACTATTAAAATAAACAAATCCTATAATCAACAGTTCAGGTGAGCTTGCTGTGGGCTTGCTGCAATATGTCAGCTGGATTTGCAAAGTCTGAAGAGCATCTTGGCTCTCATTAGTTTTGGAAGAGTCATCCTGAAATAAGCACAAATGTTAACAACACTGATAAAAAAGACCCAGGTTCAGAAGGAATCACTTTTTCCTCAATTATGCAACTTTGGGCACTGGGAGAATTGATGACAGATGGAGGAGAAATAAAATGTTAATCTACTTTTCTTAGGCTACTTGTGACTTATATAATAAAAGTACTAAAACATTTATAAAATATTTTCACAATATCATATGTTCCCTAAAATAAGTTCAATTCAAACAAGCCAATATATTTTACAGAAATTTACATCCTATTTGGTATCAGGGATTCTAACATAGGACAGGTCTAGATGTTTTTGTTGTTATTTTTTGTCCTCAAAAAACTTCAAGTTTAGTCCTTGTAGTAAACAAAACATTTAGAATGTTAAAGTGGATCGGTTAATATTCTTTTGTGTGATATCTTATATCTTAATGTTTCACAATTCAGTCGGTAGGCATGAAGCAAGTGTTTAATGCATACACTAACTTTAAGAGAAGTAGAAATAATTCTGTGGTAACCATACCTTCAATTTCCTTAAGCTAATATCATTTTTCTCTCATACTTTTTCATTTTTAATTTTATTTTTTAATTAATCTTTCATTGAAACAATTATCTTACTTGCCATTTCCCCTATATCTTTTAAATTTATGTAGACAGTGCTAATTTCACTTTGAAAAATGGAAGATGGTGTTTACTTACATTTGAATTGAATGGTGCAGCTATCTTATGCATTGCTATATCATAAAATTAATAGCATCTATATATTTTTTAACAATTTTTAAGTTGTTGATGTACAAAATAACTTTATTTGTTTTTATGTAGTGCTGAGAATAGAACCCAGTGCCTCACACATGCAAGGCAGGCACTCCACCATTGAGCTACAACCCTAGCCTAGCATCTATATATTTATATCTACAAATATATATATTTATAGATATGAATGTACAATTGTATATATTTATAAATATATAGATATATGATATAGTAATATAATATCTATTTTAAACATTCATATTTTTATAATTTCGAGGGATAGATCCTCCTGAGCTGCATCTGCAGTTCTTTTTCTATTTTTTTTATTTTGAGACAGAATCTCCCTAAATTGCTGAAGCTGGGCTTGAACTTGCAATCCTCCTGCCTTAGCCTCCAAAGTTGTTGAGATTACAGGCATGTGCCACCACACCCAGCTACAGTCTTACAATTTTTAGATTAGGTCTTTTACTTTAGAAATGTCTATGTTGTTTAGACTTTCAATGTTGAATAAAAGTTTTTCTTAAAACAAACCTTTTATATCCAACTCTAAAATGTAAAGTAAAAACAAAATCATATTATGCTGGAACTCATTACCAAATAATAAACATATGCAAAATCATAATAGAATAAGGCGTCTTTTAAAACTTGAATCAAGGATTTAATTTTGTTATAGTTTATGGAATATAGTCAATAAATGTTTATTAAATTGATAATTAAATGTGTAAAGTAGTAGAGTATGGATTTACCTTAATTATGAATGGATTAGTTAACTAATTCAATACCTTAGAAGTATCATCATTGGAATCCGAAAGAACATGATATATACTTAAAATCTAATTGATTTCTCCATATTGAAAAAGAACCCCCTTTTAATATCTTACAAAATATCTTAAAATTGGCACAAAACATCTTGCCATATAATAATTATATTTTTTTCTTGGTTAACAAAATACGTTCTAAGCAAAACCTACATTAACTCAATTTGTAGTTAATAGTAAAGGTACATTAAAATTGTAAAATTAAAAAGCTATCTTGTCCTACTTGCTATTCAACTAAAGTTTTTTAGCTTAATACTTTTCAAGAATGATCCAGCATCAATATTCAGATTCTATAACTCATAAATGCTCCAATATATCACCCTGAGTTCTCATATCGAACACCATTTAGTAGAAGGTATCATTTTACATTCTATACCCCCTTTTTTTCCTTCAGGTTCATCCTTGTTTTCCTTTAATTTTAAGCACAAGTTATTTTCTCAGTTAATTTGATGCTAACAAGGAAATACTTTACTCAGAAATAGTCACTAAACACCACAGACACCACAGGCAAAAATATGCACAGAAACAGAAATCTTCAAAAACAGCAAGCATTTTTCTCTTTTAATGTTTTAACTTTGGGAACATCAGTTAATTTATCATGATAATATGGAAATCATAGCATAATATTCACTCTTAGTTTACAATATAGTCATGCTTATCAACATATTTATCAACATGCATTTATGTAATTTATAATAGCAATCACACAAATGTACAATTTATAAATACCACAGTAAATATATACAAATCTCTGCAGCTTCCTCCCTGTATTTGTTTCCTAGTGTTGCTGAGAAGGAAACCATCCTTTGCCTCTCTCCTGTGTATGGTAGTTACTGGCAATCAAGTGATAATCAGTTTAAAGCTTACGTTAGAAATTAGTTTTATTTCCTTGGAATCATTCTATTCTTGCTGTCCTATAGTACAGCTTCATCCACTTTACCTGTTGTCCATCTGGGTACATGAATTTATTTGTCTTTCTAGAAGGTGGACAAGGACATTGTCAACAGACTCTACCTGTCTTTTGTTCTTTATACCTTGCTCAAAGAGACCAACATTTGGAGTGTGTCTGAAAAATTTAACATGTCTCGAGGATATATACAAAATCTACTTACGGGAGCTGCTTCCTTCTCATCCTGTGTGTTACATTTCTGTGAGGTAATTCCACTAAACATATAATTTATACTTGGTACATCTTCTTGTTTTAACTGTTACTAAACCCACTAATAAATACTGACAGTATGTCAGTATTCCTCATTGTTGACTTATTGTGTTATTTCAAAGCACTCAAAATTTATCTAAAAAGTATCTTTGTTTTTATCTGCCTACAAAAGAGTACTACATACATACTGATGGTAAAGATATAAAAATTCCTGAATTAACTAAAATATAAAGTAAGTAGAAAGTGCCTAGTTAATCTACTTTTAAGGCCATCATTAGTATTTTTCAGGTATTTCCTCAAAAATATATAACAAAGGATTATAGACTTTCCTTCACAGATAATTTTTAATTGAATTTATAACATAAACCATTTTTCCTACATTTTAATTTTTTATTGGGTAGCATAGTAATCCTTTCCATGTTTGTGTCTATACTCAATTTTTAAACTCTTTCCTCATGAATTCTGTTTTTCTAAGATTTAAATTTACTTCATTTTTTCTACCTTAAACATTGATGTTCTATGTATTTATATGACAATTAATTCTGTCATATGTACTCATGGAGTAAATAATCCAAAAATACTTGGCTTTGGATTGAATGATAATTATTTTAGCAAATTTACCTTTCTAAATATAATTTACTTAGGACAATTTTTAAGTGTTAGTTTATAATCCCTAATCATATGCCAGTTAAGCATCAGACAAAAATTACAAGTTATAAGGTGAAACAAATTTTTTAAATGTATATTCTTAATTTTTTTGTTTGTTGTTCTCCATAATTAAAATTGCTCTCCTTGATATTATTTCCCTTTGTGTTATTTAGGACTGAGGGTTTAAGCCTAATGGAATTGCTCAAATAAAATAATCTATACATAGAACTTGAAAAACAACTGTAATTTGATGGCTGATCCTAAAAAAATCTGATAACTTATATTCTCAATGTATTTTTAATATTTTAAAGTGTTTTTTTCTTTTAAAAAGTTTTATAAGTTGTATAAAATAGTATACCAATCATATTAGTAAATTATATTTAACTACAATTAATAGGAAAATTTAAAAGAAGTTTAGCCAATAAAGAAAAATGATTATCTTATGTAACAGGAAGGCAAGAACTAATGCAATTCCAGGGTTGATTGATTCAGTAGTTCTATTCATGGTCTTTTTACTCTGCCATCTTTATTGACTACTTTCTTGGTGGTCTCGATATTGCTAGATAGTGCTATTACATGCATCACAAACTCTCACAATGGCTGGAATGAACCTTTTGATAAAATAAACTACTATTATAGAAATTTCAAACATACAAAATAGATAAAATGATGTGATCATTTACCCACCAAGAGTTAATAGTTATTGATTCGTGATTTCCGGTATTTGTGAAAGTTTAATAATGCTGCATTGAACATTATCATGCATTTGAATCTTTCCATATTTAATATTTTGTCTTCAGGATAAATTCCTAGAGATAGGAATTATTTTTAGTCATTTAGGAAAGAAAAATCATTCACTTTCTGATGTTTTGATAAAAATGAATAGAGCTCTTTCTATTCACTTGTTTTTCAATTTTCAATCTTTTTCCACCTCCCTAAACTACTTTATCCAGTTCCTCAGAGTCTCTACCATGTTTCCTCTTAATACTTTGGCCTGGAATAATCTTTCATTTCTGGTTTAATCCATGTTCATAATAAGATAATATCCTATCTGAGCCTCATACCACACAAATTAAACTTGGAAATAACTTACAAAAATTAAATTTGATATATTTCCTTGCATTCTACAGGAACTTGAGGAGTTTTGGGTTTATAGGGCCCTTTTGGTAGAACTTACCAAGAAGCTGACTTACTGTGTGAAGGCAGAGCTAATCCCTCTCATGGAAGTGACTGGAGTCTTAGAGGTTAGTAGCTTTTCAATTTCTCAACTGACGATTATTACAACTAACAAAAAAATTAGGTTTCATTATTTTGTGAAGTCTTACTACAGGGCAAGTGATAGAGCCTTGTTGCTCATTTTTCATGGCGAGATATATATGGCATTTATTATGTGTGTGCATATATACACATATATACATATACACATGCATATGTTCCACTTATATACATGCAAATATACATACACACATATGTACATACACATATATGTATATATAAATGTTTTTTTGTGTGTGTGGCTCCCATGACAAATAAGCAGCAAGGCTCTATCACTTCCACTGTAATAAGACTTCACAAAACAATAAAACCTGACATATATAATAAAATATATATATATACATATAAATAAATACACATATATGTGTGTGTCTATGTAACTAGCTGCTGCCATGGCCTTCCAGAAATCCACTGCTAATTGGGAAACAAATCTAATGAAAAATCTCAGTTGTGGAAAAAAAAATAACAGTAGAGGTGGGAGTGACTCTCCGCAAGAATGTTCATGCTACCACATCACTTCCCTCCTCCATTCCAATGTGGAATTACCTTCTCTTAGTTTGTACTCAGTGCTTGTTTAAGATAGTGATGATTCAGTGACAGCAAAAGTCATTTATGTTTTCTAAGAGAGTGGTTTCTATTTTTAATTAATTTATTCTTTATTATTTGGTTCTTAATTCCACTGAGAAAACACACACACACACTGGTCTCCTGAGTAGATGATGAGAAAATTTGAAAGATATCAGGCGAGAACATTTTGCTTGAAGAACTTTATTAGTACCACTAACATAAATGCCTTAATGGCTTTCTCATTCCTGATTTTAGCACACATTAGCTGACTTAAGCTACATAAAAAACTACATGCACTCAGATTGGAACTACTCAGCTGCATCTTTAAAATTGTTTAGATTCTGAGGTGTTATCTCTTCACACATATCTACTTTATTATCTTAGTTTATTCCTATCTCTGTGTGTGAATTTTTTCCTAATTTCAAATTCTCATCCTACTTATTTTTGTAACACTTTTTAGGGTCGAGCAAAACAGTTATACAATGCAGGTTACAAAAGTCTAATGCATTTAGCTAATGCTAACCCAGAAGTGCTAATAAGGACAATTGATCATTTATCAAGACGCCAGGCCAAGCAAATTGTTTCATCAGCAAAGGTAAGCAAGGAAACTATTTTTTAACTTTTATTATAAATTTCGTAGTATTATTTCCTTGTACTTTATACTTCAGAACAAAATATTTAATATCACATGAGTTTATTTTGATAGAAACAAATATATGTATTCAGAATTTGTGAGTACAAATACTGCACCTGTTATGACACAAGGCTTGCTAAAAAGAACAGACTTCCTAAAATGTAAAGACAGTTTTGAATGTTCATTGAAGTATAGGAACCCTAGAAGTCATTGAGTTCTGCCTCCGAAGTCTTTTCACGGAAGTTCTTTCCTCAGCATCTCTGACATCTGGTCTTCCTACCTTGAACACCATCATTGACAGGAACTTTTTAGACACTGAGGAAAGAAAAACCATTCACTTTCTGATGAATTCACTTTCTGAAAATTCAGTTTCTTCAATTTTCGGGTGCTCTTAGTATTACAAAAATTATCCCAATATATTGAGGCAAAAAAATTTCTACCACTGTACTGGAGTACTACCCTCTGGAACTAATCTATTATTTCATTCTTTTTCTTTTTTGAAGTACAAGGGCATTCTACCACTGAATTACATTGCCAGATCTTTTGGAGTTTTTTTATTTTAAAATACAATCTCACCAAGTTGCCCAGGCTGGCCTTAAATTTGTGATCCTTTTGCCCCAGCTTCCTGGGTCACTGGGATAACAGGTGTGTGTGTGTCACCATGCCCAGCTATTCTTTCATTTTTATGGTAGTTTTTCACAGCTCTCATTTTGAAAACAGCTCTCTTTGCCCCAAAGAGTTTCTGTTTCATGTATGTTTCCTCATCCATATTAAATAATGTTGTTTTAGGCCATTCACTATCTAGGTACCCTTTGCTGGATCCAATCTGGATTACCATTGCCCATCTGTCTACATAGAAAGCTATTACTCAATAATTTGGTTTATTTCTTACTTATTCTCCACTATAGTTATAAATCTGAAATTGTTTGGCTTCTTTTAGACTTCATTGTTACATAATTGCCATATATAAAACAGAAATAGTTAGAAAATAAATTTCCATCTTATTTAAATGGGGCTCTCATTGAATACATTACCTTAATTAATCTTTATGATGAGCCTATGTAGTGGGCAGTGTTGGTACTATCCCCAGTATACAGATGAAACTACTTAGATGGTCTTTGTCCCATTAGATTAGAAGTTCTTTGGGTTGGTGGGAAGAACAAAGTTATAGTCCATTTCATTTCTATAGCACCTAGCACAGCATTAAGTCTATGTGTTTAACAACTATTTGAATAAATAAATGAGACCTAACGAAATTAGGTGATGTATACAAGGAAACAGGAGGTAGGATAGCCAGGACTGTGGATTATTAAGGCTATAAATGGAGCTGTAGTAACAATGAACAAAATTAGTGACTTTAAGTTAGAAAAATTTATTAGACAAGTTTAAACATAAATAGTTTAGAAGTGACATGGGAATGAGTGGTGTATCCAGGGACCAGTATTCCTTGTTTCTTGCTGCTCAGTCATTCTCAATACAAGGCTTTCATCTTATAGACTAAGATACTTTTTCTGATTCAATCTCATCTACTTTCCAGCCAGATTAAAGAGTAAATGGATATTTGCAGCAGGATTTTGAGTACAGTATTGGGTTATAAAATTGTAAGTAAGGCCGGGCACAGTGGTGTATGTATGCCTGTAATCCCAGTGGCTCTTGGAGGCTGAGGCAGGAGGATTGGGAGTTCAAAGCTAGCCTCAGCAACTTATCAAGGCCTTAAGCAACTCAGTGAGACCATGTCTCTAAATAAAATATAAAAAAGGGCTGGGGACGTGGCTAAGTGGTAAAGCACCCCTGGGTTCAATCCCTGGTACCCCCCAAAAAAATTGTAAATAAGGGATCCGGGATGGAAATAAGGAAATGAATTTGAAGTTATACATTTTTTGGCAGGAATGCCCAAAAATTATGTGTATCCTTCAGTACATCATATCAGGAGCCACATGATTATCATTTTTGTTCCATTGCTGACATTAACTTAGACCATTTGGTTTAAGGAAGTGATGTTTGCCAATTTCTTTCACTATAAAGCTATTATTTTCCCTTTTGTGATTAGTAAATATTTGGGGAATGGATACTTTTAAGATTGTAGTAGATAGCCTATTCCTTATTAGACTTTCACATACTCATTTTAGCATGTACCAGTGATTTTCTACATAACTCAGTTATTTTCTTAGTTATAGATGGACACAATACCTTTATTTTGTTTATTTTTATGTAGTGCTGAGGATTGAACCCAGTGCTTCACACGTGCGAGGCAAGCACTCTACCACTGAGCCATGATCCCAGCTCCCCCGTTACTGGAGCTTTCAACTGGAGCAACTGCACATGGCCTTTCCATGTGGCTTGGGTCTCATTACAGGGCAACTAGGTTAGGAGAAGGAACATCTGAGGAGTGAGCATTTCCAAGAGATCAAGGCAAAAAATGCAAGAAATCTTCTGAACTAACCTCAGAAGTAACACAGTATCATTTCTGCTGCATACAGTTGGTTATCAGTCATTAAGACCTGGATTGAAAGGAAGGAAAATTAGAATCCCACTTCTACATGAAAGGAATGTCAGATAATTTGCAGTCATTCCCAATGCCCTCCTTGTGGTCATAGATTATCTACATTTCTCTTACATATATCATATAGTCAACCCCAAAGACTTTTCCAGTATGGCATCAGACATAGGTTCATAGGAGTACTTGCAGTCCTTCTGCCTCAGCCTCCAGGTTCAAGGTACAGTATTTCTCTTAAATCAAGTCCACATGCGGGTGAAGTACCTTGATACAATTTCACAAGCTCTTCTCAGTGAGGACTTGTGAACTGAAAAGACACAGGATACAATGGTGAAATCAGAGGTAGGCTAACTACTATATATGAGCAGTGCATTGCAGCAATTCTAGAATCTATCCAGGCATTTGTGACCAGTTCCTTTATTAGGACCCAGTTTTCTCTGTAAATTATTCCTGACTTTGGGTTTCCTCATCCAAATCATTCTTCCTTTTCCATAAGTAACAGCCCTTGCTATTATGTGCATAAGTCTGCTCTTATAGAAGTTCAGGAGTTTAGGGTTAGTGGTACAGTGCCTGCTTAGCATATGTGAGGCCCTGATTCAATCCCTAATAAACACCAAAAAAAGAAAAGAATAAGAAATTCAAGAGTTCAAAAACTCTTTGTATTTTGAACTGTCTCTCTTTTTTTATTATTCAGTCTAGTTTATTTCTTTTAAAATATTGTGGTTTCTTATTTATCTTTCTATAATCTCCATGTAACTTGGCTTTCTTCCAGCATGGGTGCTGTGATCTAAGAGAGAGCAGTTAAATGACCTTGCAGTGTTCTCATTCCAAGAAACCAAAGCAGAAGCTACAAGACTTCTTTCAGTTGAGCCCTATCATGCAGCATCATTTCTACTGTACTCTGTTAGTTATAAGTAGATCACCAAGGCCATCCCAGAACCAAAAGGAAGAGAATTAATTCCACCTCTTAATGGAGGTGTTGAAGAATTTCCAGTCATCATTCATTTTCCACACTCATCCTACACTACAGGACTTGTTATAGAAGTTTCTTTTTGTATTTTTAATTCCTTTCTCCAACATTGAGAAACTTGCTTCCTGTTTTCATTATATATCTGTCTATATTGTTCAATAGAATACACTGAAAGTAGTTTCAGAATTGCTAAATTTTACCACTGATGTGGGGGGGGGCCTAATTTGCTAACCAGAATTCAATATTTATTTACAACTCTTTTTTTTTTTTTCTTTAATTTGAAAGTACACAATAGAAATAATATGTTGAAATGTTACTTGGGGTTGTTTTTTTTTTTTTAATTTTTAAAAAATCTGCTTTGGTGTAGTTGTTATTTATTTGAAGCACAGATTTTATTTGCATTCTTCTCTCCTCTCCCATTTTTGTTTTTGTTTTTTGGTACTGGGAATTTACCACTGAGCTGCATCTCCAGCCCTTTTTTATTTTCTGAGACAGGGTCTCATTAAGTTGCTTAGGGCCTCAATAAATTGCTGAGGCTGGCCTTGAACTTGCAATCCTCTTGCTTATGCCTCCCAAGTTGCTGGGATTACAGACATGCACCACCATGCCTGGCTCCCTGCCCTCCTTTTTGTATATAAAACATTAACCTATTTTCTTTATCTTTAAATCCAAGTAGTTTCATTAGGACATGTCTTTATTTCCTCTTATTTTAAGAATTTTTAGGGGGTTGAAGTTAATATTAGTTCTGATCCTTTTCTTTAACAATTCTAATTGTATTTATATTGGATCTTCTTTGCCTATCTTCCATTTCAATATCACCAATCTCTTTTTTATATCTTTTTTTTTTGTTTTTATTCTCCTGATAATTTTCCCACTTTTCATATTTCAGTGACCCTAATTAGGTTTTTTTATTCAGATCTGTTCTTCTTTGGACATCTGTTCTTCCTTGAACATAATTATAGTTATTACTTTTTGTTATGAACATTTTGCCTTTTTCTTCCTATTTCTTTGTGAGCTCAGAAAAAAAAAAAAAATTGTTTGCTTTGTTTGTACCTAGGATTAGACCCAGGAGTACTTACAGTCCTTCTGCCTCAGCTTCCTGAGTCTGAGTCCCTGGGATTACAGACATGACATATACCATCACACCTGGCAGGGAGGGAATTTTTATGAACTGAAGAGCTTTGATTCTCATTTCTGTTTTTCTTTCTCAAGCAGTGATGAGAACTGCTTATACTGTTGCATTTCTTGGACAGGGTTGCCATTTGGAATAGTTCATGAGACTCCCAGTTCAAGACTGAGATTTTATCTCAGAGTCGTGAAATATGGTGTCTTTCATGGATAGCTCAGGGTGGGGAGAAGTGTACCAAGGTTTGTGTCCTTGGAATTTTTTATTCCTTTTGTCCTACAGCATCCTAAATTTTGCCCTCATTTCCTTTTTCCTTCATGGCTCTCCTTCCAAAGGGCACCTTTCCCCTTTTAGCCAGTCTTTTTCTGAAAACATAGCCTTTCCAAGACTGCCTCTTAGAGTTCTGCACGTACTTTAAATACCTTCCTATAAACAGCGTTTTAACCTACCAAAATTTGTTTCCAGTATTTTTATATTACTGTAACTTTTCTCTCTCTGGAGATGATTTTACTTAATCTTAGACTCTTGGTTCCCTCTTATCACATCTGTATAGGTTTTTCTCAGCCTCACCTCCATCTCTGCAAATGCTTAAAGTAGGAGTTCAAGAAATAGATCTGAGAATTGGTAGATTTTTTTCCTTTTTTTTGGGGGGGGGGGGTTATCAGGTATTGAACTCAGGGGTGCTAAACCACTGAGCCACATACCCAGCCCAAATAATATGTTTGAAAACCAACTTGGAGCTTTTTTCTTCTTCTTTTTTTTTTCCCCCTTTTTTGTGGTCCTGGGGATTGAATCCAGGCCCTTGTGCATGGGAGTTAAGCTCTCTACCAACTGAGCTATATATATCCCCAGCTCTTTGGTGGATATTTTTAAAACTATAAGTAATTTGAGGTAGTTGGTGTTCTCTATACTATTACTGGAACATGGTTTTTGTGTAATTTACTTGTTGGTTTGTGTACTTTTTAGAGGGAGATTTATCTTACTTGGTGGTCCTTCTCTCAGATACTGGAAAGTTTACTTGATTACATTTTAATCACTTTTATATAATGTGTAGTGCTATACTTTATCAAATTGGTAGAGTATTTTTGTTTTTTTTTTATTTTTGCTTTCATATTATTTTTCCCCTTTTTATGATTTTGATAAACATTTTATTATAAAAATGTTATAACAGAAGTAGTGCTAATATTTCACCCCTACATATATGAAACCCAAATTGTTTCTGCGTTTTAGAAGAAAGGGGAATCGTTATTTATTGAAATCTTCTATGTGTCTTATTTTAGAAATACTTTTTTTCCTTTTTTGTTACTTTTGAAATCAACCATAGTCACTAAAGAAGTTGAATAACTTTTCCTAAAAATACTGATGAATTTTTAAAAGCATACTAAATTTTGAGGATTAATAAAATGCATATATAAAGGATTACTTTTCCAGGAGCTCATTAAATTTTTGCAAAATTGTCTAAGATTTTATAGATTAAAAATTAATTTTCAAGTGGCCAAGTCTCCAATAAAACAAATCTTGGAGAGTATTAAAGCCTCTTTATTTTTGGAATACTATGCAATGATCAGCTAAAATGGTTTTAACTAAATGCCTCAGCCTCATTTACTATAATCACTTGTTCTTAAATGGCCATTTTTCAATCTTGTTATTTTAGTTTTAATGTCTAGATTATTGATGTGTAAAGATTCAGGCTTCTAATAGTGGTAAAAATGTTGGCAGTTCTAGCAATGTACATTTTGGCCTCAGGTCTTGATTTTTTATTGTAGATGCTGTTGCATGAAAAAGCAGAGGCTTTGCAAGAAGAAGTAGAAGAATTATTGAGATTGCCTTCTGATTTGCCTGATGTCGAGGCATCTTCCAGTGAAAAGGCATGAAGCTATCTGATGCACATTTTCAAATATGAATTATTTATTACATATATTTTATTAAAGAGTCCTTATGCTTTACAAATGAAATATACTTAAATTATGCATTAAGAACTATGGATAATATTTGAATATAATGCTCATATTTACAGTAACCTTCTACTAATAATCCATCTTCTTCAACATTTACACATTATTTCTCTGTTCAAAATCTATAGCGTCCACCACAAAATGAATTCAAACTGCCACAACATATCTTCAAGCTTCCTTTGTAGTCATATCTTTTATTATTCTCTTACCTTTGTTGGATTTTTTTTTTTTTTTTTTTTTTTTTTTGTGGTGGTGCTGGGACTTGAACCCAGGGCCTTGTGCTTGCAAGGCAAGCATTGTACCAACTGCGCTATATCCCCAACCCCACTTTTTTTTTTTTAATTTGTTTTGCTGTGGATTGAACCCAGGACCTTGTTCATGCAGAGCATATGCTCTACCACCGAACTACACCCCAACCCTCTCTTACCCATTTCTTCCTTCAAACTGGATTATTTGAAATTCCCAGAACTTTCCCTGTGATTTTTCAAACCCATCATTTTCTACCTGAAGCTGGATCACTAGGGACATGCCCTCAAAGAAGATATTGGGATCCTAACCCCTCCTCTCTCTCTGCTTTCTGGCTGCCATGAGCTGAGCAACTCCTCCACCCTGCACTCCCACAATGATGTACTGTGCTGCTACCAGCCCAAAACAATGGCCAAACAACCACAAACTGAGACCTCTGAAACCATGAGCCAAAATGAATTTTCCCTCCTTTTTAAGTTGATTTATCTCAGGTATTTGTCATAGTGATAGAAAGTTGACTAACATGGTATTAACACTAAAGGATATTGAAGCATGAAGACATTGAAGCAGTTTAGTTCTAGAAAAGTAGATCAGTGGGAACAGATGGAGAATAAAATAGACCCAAATATTTTTACGAATTTATAATAAACATGGTTTTTCATTTTTGAGTGATTAAAAACCCAAGGATATCTAGTTTAAGCAAAAAGGGATATTTAGCCACCATATTCTCAAACTGGCGGCAGCAACAAACCTACCCTTAGGGCAATTAGAATCAGCGAAGCTTAACACCATCAGTACTTGCCACCTGTCCTCTGTCAGGCAAATTAAGACTGACTTACATATAGATTCAAGACCAAAGCACAAAGATCTCACTGCTGCCAATTTCAGTTAGGAAAAAAAAAAATCTGGAAAAAGCTATTAGTGGTCAGTTGGGTCCATTTCCCACCCCTATGACCAGGGTATAGAATTTTGATGATTTTTTCCAGAAGACAGGAAGTGGTGGTAAATGAAGAAAATAATAGGTAGTACAGGTGATACTTCAAGTCATAGTGGAAAATGTGGGTCACTCAGTGAATAGAGTTGGAATAAATGGCTACTTCACCATTTAGAAAAATATTAAATCTACTTATCTCAGACTTAATTTAAATTTTATGTATATCACATTCAGATTTGAAATTTTTGTTGCTGTCATCTGACTGCACTAACACATCAAGGAAGGTACCTGTAGTTCCTTCATATTAAATTTCAAAACATTAAAATGTTGGGAATTCCAATGTGGTATCAGGTTTTCCTTTTTCAATGTTTTTAAGTTGTAAGTCAGCCTGTCCATTTCTAGGATGCCTAATTCCATTAAGCTCTTTCTAATGGCCACACTTGTTTTGCTTTGCCCTATAAACTTAAACAACCACCACCCAAACAAAGCTTTTCTGTGGAGCACACCCAAGTTTTGGTCAAGTATAAGCCTTTTCAAACTTAGTTATTCTCTCAGCAAATCTCCACACTGATATTTTTTTTTTAGGAAGGACTGATGGAAAACCCTCCTTGGCTTTATGCTTCCATTTTCAAGAACCTTCCCATACAATCATCACTGCAGTTTCTGAACTCCATCTCACTGTGACAAGAAGTAACACCAAGCATTACACATAAGCATTGTTATACTTGATTTTCTTTGATAATTTCCAATAACATGATCATAGTGATGTGTGTATTTTCTATGGTACTCTCACTGATAAGTTAATAAACAATAAACTTCCATTTATTGAAGGCTTGCCGTGTGCCAGCACTATGCTAAATCCTTTGGATAGCACTATTTAGATGATTCCTTACTGACATCTAAGATGCTATTTTTTTTTTTAGGCATAAACAGGTTTATTTAGGATGATAAATATACATTCAAGGGAGAATGCAGGCCTCCTCGAGAGTGAGAAGCCATGATGTTATTTTTTTACCCTATGTTACAAATAAAATGTGGCCTGCCTGGAACCCACCATTAATAAGTGACAACCTGGACTCAAACCTGATCACACTGATTATTCTGTTGATTGTGCACATTGCAACAAGCTACCCAACAAATATTTGGAAAGTTGTGGGTCAAGATGGCAGGCTGAACATATCTGTTTACTCTTCCATCTGTCTAAAACCCTATGAAATAATTACAAAAAAAGATATGAAACATAGCTTAAGTATATAGTAGAGGTGGGGGGAAACAATGAAGATGGGCACTAACACACAGTTGTGATGATTAAAGAGCCAATTGGAACATCCAGGCCATAGGTCTTACTCCCTTTGTTGATGCAGAATAGCACATTTTTATAGAAGCTGCATTTTCTACATAAGCTAAGGCAGTGTTGAGGAGGGTTCTCTATGGAATCCATAAAGGAGAAAAAGATAGATGACCTCCTCCTACCCACAAGAAAAGATATTGGCACACGCTCTCAGCATGTTAGCACAATCTGATAACAGCAAAAGCAGAGAACAGGGATTCTCAGGTGCTAAGTTTCACAAACAACCAAGAATGCCAAATATTAAGGAGGAAATGGTGGATTGGATTCTGTTTTAGTTGAACCAAACACATTAGATAATTAAACTTCCCCAAAATGAATTATATGCACATACATAGATATAGCATTAGAAGCTTTAAAGTTTGTACCAAAACCAATGAGTAACCTGGCAGCACAATATGCTTGTAGTGTCTGGTGTTTAAAGTTCAAAATATTATGCATTTTAGTATTTGTTTCATTTCTTCTGAGTATTCTAAATAATTAACCTGGGTTTGTTTTTTTCTGTTTTAAGAATTTAACTTAAATGTGTGTAATTCTTGGGGTGATAGGCATAATAACAACCTGCCCAGACATGTTTGCCTTATAATAACTGAACCTATAAATTTGATATGTGGTTAGGTTGCAGATGGAATTAAGGTTGCCAATTAGGTGACTGATGATGGCAAGGTTATCTTGAATTATCTGGGTGGGCCCAATGTAGTCACAAATGACCTTGTAAGTGAAAGAGGTGACAGGAGAGTCAGAATGATATGATGAAAGATTCCCCAGCCATTGATGACTTTGAAGATGGAAGGAGACCTTGAGCCAAGGAATGAATAGTGCCTCTGGAAGCTGGAAAGGGCAAGAAATTGATTCCCTTCTAGGGCCTGCAGAAAGAAATACAGTCCTGCTTATACCTTCTGTTAGCCTACTGAGACCTTTCTAGACTTCTGACTTTCAGAATTGTAAGATAACAAATTTGTATTGTTTTAAACCACTGCACTTTGTGCTAATTTGTTACAGCAGCAATAAGAAACTAATACATCTGAAAATTGCTCTCTGGCATCTCTATGGAACACAATTAGAAAATCACCATTTGGGGGGGATTCTTTCTGGTTATTAGCACATAGCAATTATGCCCATGAAAGGGTATTTTGTGTTTCTAAAAACTCTATGGAAGTTAACTATGATAAATACCGACCATTTTTATAAATTATAATTTTCTCTAGTGAAATGGTTTCTTTTTTACTTATCCTAACAGCAGCTTATATAAAATGTTAAAGTTCTATCCCTGATTAAAACAAAGCAACAAAAGAGATCCAATTACTGCAGAGAACTGGACATTTGAATCCTTCTGAGGAGTTTTATGAGCCATCTAATCTAGGACATCTTATAATTTTTTTTCTCTTTAAAATGGGCGGAAAGTATATTATCATAATAAAGAGATATGCATAAAGCTATGAAAATGTAGGCTAACAGCAATTTAAGTGTAAAGAACCAGCTGTTATAATGTAACATGCCAAATGATTTTCTTTTGTGGTAAAATACAATATTACTGTATGGTAGCACATACAGTTGGGGAAATTTTCACAGACAATAGACTTCTCACTCTGTATAAAATACAGTAACACTGGTTTAATTCTGTATATATTTGTAAGCACTTTGAGGGTCATAATAAAATTCTGTTGTCCACCCAATAAATGAAGTTCAACATCATTTTGCTGAAATTTTTGTCAAAGCCATTTGAAATCTCAATGAAAATATTTAAAATACAGTTTACTGAATAATTTCAATATATTTAGTTTGATGCTAGACACAGGTGGAAAATAAAGAGGTGGAATATCACACTGATAATTCCCTTGTTTCTTTTAGGCACAAATAAAATGACTATGTGCCAATGACAGGAACAAAATGAGACAGGGACAAATGCTGTAGACCCCAGAGACAGAGTCCTCGAGGAAGAACTGTGCAAGAAATGAACCATGAACTAGATGCTAAAAAGATAGGAGAATTCCGAATGTTGGAGACAAAGAAAGAAGGGCATCTGCAGAAGGGAGGACATAGGTACTCTTCCAGCTGAGGTGTACAAAGAGAAGGCGGTGAGCCACACCATCTATGTATTTGAGTTCTAGAAGAGGTTATGAGAAACCATAAAAAAAAATCACTCATGGTTTGTGCTGAGCCATCTCCGCTTTCTCATCTGGTCTCCCCTGTGATCAATGAAAGGCATCTGTGAAACACCTGACGGAGGAGCACACAGGTGACCACAGTGCAGGCAAAGCCATATGGAGAATAAGTTCACAACCTTGGCCTTCTTGGCTCTGTGATCTGTCGAAACTAGGACAGAAAGAAAGTGTATTTAATCTTTGTCAAAAGTAAAGCTGGACACTAAAGTGCTACGAATATTCTGTGATAACCCCATAGTGAAGGGGAAGAGGTCCAGCGTGAACCGAGATCAACTTCCATTTGTGCAGGAGTGACCAGGTGTTTCAGAGGCAAATTGAGGGATTAGGGTAGAAGACAAGGAGAGGGGTGAGCAAAGGCTGGGTTTGTTAATTGGTGCCTAACTAGCGGAAGCAAACTTCTCATATTGTTATGCTAGGAAGGACTAGAAAAGACAGAGCAAGGCATGCACACTGAGACTTATTTCCCTGAATGTTTACATTTCAAAAATGCTCTCAGGTCTTAGAGAAGCCATTCTGGCTGGTTGGAGATCAACATCTCAAAGGAAGAGAGGATTACAATGGCAAGCTTTCTAAAGGAACTGCTCTATAGCTGGTAGGAAGTTCAGGGGCCTATTAACAGGTGTAGCTGGAACAAACTATTCTCTTGGTAGTGTTGACTTCCTCAGGCAGACATTTTAACACGGGTTGGTTCATTCTAGAGGTGTAGCCCTGAGTTTTTAGAAACTGTGTTAATCTTTGTTCTGTTGGGCATGGTGATGCTCCCCAGAATCCCATCTACTTGGGAGGCTGAGGCAGGAGGATCACAAGTTCAAGTCCAGCCTAAGCACCTTAGTGAGAATCTATCTCAAAAAAATAAAAGGAGTTAGGGATATAACTCAGTGGTAGAGTGCCTATGTGTCCAATTCCCAGTATTGAAGAAAGAAAGAGAGAAAGAAAGAAAGAGACAAAGAAAAAAGAAAGAAAACTATGTTAGTGTTTTTCTAGTCTTTTAGTGCAGGGGGGACAAAATTATTTGTGGCAACAATTTGTCATTTTTATAGGCCAAAATTGAGGCCTAGTTGAAAAGAGTCTATCTAAAGTTTGGTTGAGAGGAGAGTCTTTGTCACCTTCCAATATTTGTTGAAATTATCCACTTAGCTCAGTTTAACAACACATGCCACCACTAATATTGATATTTAATTCCTTTCAATCTGTGTTATAAACCTGGGTCTTGATCTCTAGTTTAACTTAATTTTAATTCTTGGGTTTTTTTCTCAGTATAATTACCAAGGAGTAGGAAGAGGGTTTTGCTGTTCTTTTGGCTCTTTAGCTCTTTGGTTCACCTTTCAGGACTCCTGTAGCAAAAGGAAAACTTTAAAAACTGGAACAACCTTGAAAAGCTCCCTCTGCCCATCACTTGACCCTGAGCAGGTGCAGTTCAGAATGACTTCAAGAGGGCTTGAACTTTTATAGGCAACATGCTGCACTTTAGTTGTCCCAGCCTGTGTAGACATACTAAATCAAAATTAAATGTTAATGATGGTGGTGTTCATGCCACTCTGCTGGGGAAATTAAAACACAGACAAGCGAGGCTCTAACAGCTGTCAGTAATCAGGTCACTGCCTTCCCCAGAGCACTGGCTGCCAAGGCTTACACCAACACCTATCATTAATGGTCCTGCTGCCAAAACAACTTGCTTTTGCCAACGTGTTGGGCCAGAAGAACATGAGTTATTTAAGGAGAAGCTGAAAGTCCTTGAGGGAAGTACAAAAAGAGGGCATGAATACATACATAGAAAAAAGTAAAAATGATCTGGTGTATGTCCCACTATATAGTGCTGAAAACAGAATGAACTTGGCAGTTGCTGAATTTACCCTTCTGCTACTATGAGCAGCCTGCACTTCAGGGGAGTCTGGCTTTCCCACAAGCTTATGGTATGTTCTTTATTGTTGTCTTTTTTTGCAACATGAGAAGATTCTAACATGCCATCAAACTACCTTGCTTGTCAAATTAGCAAAAGTAAATAATTTTTCCCATTATTTACTCCAAATGCATAATTGGTGAGCTACTGATTCTTAATGGCTAGTGGTTTCATTCACAAATAATGGCTACGGAATTCCAAGATCTGATTCAGGTCACTAGAAAGGGTAAGACCAGAGAAACCCATTTCACATTTCTGCTTGTCCATAATAAACTTCAGTGATCTTCCTTGAATGAGAAGCATGGATCCCATCTTTGGTAACTTTCCCTGACTTAATTTTTGGGGGGAATTGCAGAGAAAGTGTTCCTGGTAATTCAAGTGGCTTGGAAGAAAAAGAGTTCTCTCTATTCCATATTCCATAAACCCAAATAAGTTAATAGTTTCATGTGTGTCACCATTGGGGGTAGTGAGGTCTCTCTAATAAAAAGCTCTTTTTGTTATTTAGGCAGTACCATCAAGTTAGTGATTTAAGTAGACCCAGGAGTGAACTGTCCAACTTGCTCTTGGAGGGGTAGGCATTGCTTCCTTCATAATGGAGGACTAGAAAAAGGAAATAGGAAAGCTATATCACAGATGACCACGGAAGGCTGGTGGTTTGTCTGTTCTCAGACCCATTCCTTGCTCCTGTCTTCTCCAAGGCGCATTGACTAGAATCTGGCCATCTACATTTTCCACGCCCTCTTGAGCAACTAGCATTCAGTCAGCTTTAGCCTATGGGGACCCACTGGTATTATTTTAAGCTGAAGACATTTGAGATTCAACGGATGCAGGAGAAATAAAAAATTTTAAAAAGCCTTCTCAGAGCTTCTCTTGTCTGACAAAACCCAGAAACTTCTAAGAAATAAAACCACCATAAATCTCCTCTTTGGAGGCAAATCTATTGCTAAAAGAGAGAATAATGGTGACCCTCCCATAAAGCCCCTCTTTGGGGAAGCAAATAGCAAGGAAGAAGACAGAAAGTCCACTCACACCTGCCCAAACATTCTTGTCTCTCATTCATTCTCATAAAATCCTATGTGTCCTTACTAAAGAAACCTATTTGTTCTTCCTTAGGAGCCTTTTCTCCCCCATTCCCTTTCCTCAGTGAAGTTGAGTAGTAAACCCCCAATTTTTTTTTTTTTTTTGGTACCAGGGATTGAACTCAGGGGCACTTGGTCACTGAGACACATCTCAAGCCCTATTTTGCATTTTATTTAGAGACAGGATCTCATTGAGTTGCTTAGCACCCCACCTTTGCTGAAGCTGACTTTAAACTCATGATCCTCCTGCCTCAGCCTCCCAAGACAGATTACAGGTGTGTGCCACCTCACCCAGTGTAAACTCCAAATTCTAACCACCAATTTGAATTGCTTATAACTGAGCACCCTTCCATGTATGTGTGTTGCACAAACTGAATTTACTCTTATATCTCTTATTTCAATTAATTTCACAGGCACCCAACCACTAGACCTTAGAGGATAAAGGAAAAATTTCCCCTCCCCACCAGCCAGTGGGAGAGGCACTGCAGGCAACTGGCAGCATCTCTGGCTGTGTCCTCCAAGGTTCTAGCTCCTGTGCGACAGCTCCTTGGTAGATTCAGCCCCTCTGGCAGGCTCCAGTATGGTTTGTTGCCATCAAAGTGTTGAGCCTGGTTCCTGGGCTCCTAACACCCCTTCTCCCTTGCTCTCTCTAGCCCTCTGGGTAACTGCAGCTCTTTGCTGCTCTCATCTGGCTTGTCCCTCCTGCCCTGCTCCTTTGCTTGACTTTTCAAATTTTTTAGCACTTTTGTACGTTTCATGTGGTAATTACTCCCACTGTTTGTCAGGTTTCTGTTGCTGTAACAAAAATACCTGAGATAATCAACTTGGAAGAAATATTTGTTTGGGCTCATGTTTTCAGAAGTTGCAGTCCACATTCACTTGGTCCCATGGCTTTGGGCCTGGAATCACATGGCAGAGAAGGTCTGTTTACCTCGTGGCATCCAGGAAGCAGACAGAGAGAAAGAGGAAGGATCAGGGTGCCAATATCCCCCTCAAAGCCATATCCCCCAATGACCTAATTTCCTTCCACCATGCCCCGCCTCCTATAGGTTCCACCACCTCTCAATAGTGCCACGACCTTTAACATAAGGTCTTTTGTGTCCCAAACCATAGCAATTACCTACATCAAATTTCTTCAAATTATCTGAGATGAACTGTTTTCCATACTGGATCCTCTCTGATAAAATAAACAGCATGGTTTGGTCTTCCTTGTCACCATGCGGGGATATGTCTCAGTTGGTAGTGTGCCTGCCTCACATGGTTCAATCCTCAACACCACAAAAAACAAAAACAAACAAACAAACAAACAAACAAAAACCTCTTCAGGGGATAGAGATTAGTGTTTTGAGAAAGAAAAACAGTTTTAATTACAGCTGTAGGCATAAAAGTTCATCAAGAAAATTGTAGCTGGGGAGGCAATCAAATGATTGACACATATATACAATCTGAGTCTAAACAAAGGAAAAGATGTTTGGAACTTAAGGACAGAGAAGATAAGTTATAGAAAGAGGAGGGGAGGAAATACATGGTAAAAAAGAACTGTCTTGTTAT